TGACTTTTGAATTTGTTTCCCACACTTTAATACATGATAAAAATGATGGGGACAACCATTTTAGATAACAATCAGCGCTTGCTACGGAAAACTGCGGTGGACAGGCTTTTTTTAATGTTGTTTTGATTGATTTTTACCGGCCTGATTTTAAGCATTTTTTTTTATTTTAAATTTATTTCCTACGTTTGCAAATGCTTAGAATTGAATGGTGAAGTCCAATTTCACTCAAAATACAAGCTTCACCCTTAATCGATGAGTGTACCCCGTGTCTTGCGTATTTTGTGCCTTATACAAATCTTATTTGAATGCTCAACGGATCCTGCCATCCATTCTGAAACCTTTAAAAGTGTAGGAAATGAGCTTGAAATTCCAAAAAATAAGGATAATTGAGCGTGTAAGAATTAATTCAGGAAACACGTCAAAGGCATTATTCAAGATATAGTTTTCATTTTGATGAAAATTCATTGTTGCCATAATTTTATAAATGTTTGAAAGTGTAGGAAACAAATTTAAAATGTCAAAAAATAATAAAAATTAAGCTCTTAAAAATCAATTGAAAAATATGACTAATTACAGTATCCAGAATGAACCGTTGAGTTTTATGGGAATTGAATGTTACCATTAAATTTGACACACTTTTAAATGTAGGAAACAACTTTAAAATTTCAAAAAAGCATAGAAAATAAGGTACACACATGTATGCAAACAATTAAGTGAAAAAGTGATGAATTAATTAAAAAAAACGTGTCAAATGCGGCATTCAAGGTATAGTTTTCATTTTGGGGAAAAATGGTTGTTACCATCATTTTCTACATGTCTTAAAGTGTGGGAAATAAATTTAAAATGTCAAAAAATGATGAGAATTAAGCTGTAAAAAATTAAGTGAAAAAATGGGTCTAATTTCAGTATTCAAAATGAACCGTTGAGTTTTAAAAAAATTGGATTGCACCATTAAATTCTACACACATTGAAACCTAGGAAATAATTTTAAAATTTCACAAAAGCATAAAAAATAAGGTACATACATGTATGCAAACAATTAATTGAGAAATGAGTGAAAAAAAATAAGGGCCTTAATAAAAAAACCCGCATTTTCCGCGTTTTGACGCGGTTTCTGCTGCGCGCAGCACACGCGCATTCCGCTTTTAAACCCGCATTTTTAATTAATTTTTTTTTGCCATTAATTTCGAGTTTTTTTTATTTTTTAAAGTTGTTTCCTACACTTTAAAAGGTGTAGAATTTAATGGTAAACACCATTTTCCATAAAAATGAATTTTGATTATTAATTATTTTTTCTCACTCATTTTTCAAGTAATTGTTTGCTTTAAGTTTTTTACCTCATTTATCAAGATTTTGTGTAACTTTAAAGTTGTTTCCTACATTATCAAGTGTGTAGAAATTTATGGTGAAATCCAATTTTCATAAAAATGAATGGATCATTTTTAATAATGCAATTACACCCATTTTTTCACTTAAATTTTTAGAGCTCAATTTTCATTCTGTTTTCACATTTTGTACTTTTTTCCTACACTTTCAGACATGTATAAACTGATGGTAAAAATTATTTTGAATCAAAGTGAGAACTACATCTTGTATACTGCATTTGACACCATTTTTTTTATTTAATTCTTCACTTTTTCACTCAATTGTTTGCAATAATTTTTTTACCTTATTTTTTCTGCTTTTTTGAAATTTGAAAGTTGTTTCCTACATTTCAAAGTGTTTAGAATTTACTGGTAACATTCAATTTCCATAAAACTCAACTGTTCATTCTGAATACTGTAATCAGCCTTAAAATTCAATTGATTTTTAAGAGCTTAGTTTTCATTATTTTTGTACGTTTTAAATTTGTTTCCTACACTGTCAGACATGTATAAAATGATGGTAATAACCATTTTGCATCACAATGAAAAATTGTTCTTGAATAACGCATTCCACATGTCTTTTTAATTAATTCTTACACGCTTAATTATCCTTATTTTATGGAATTTTAATTTCATTTCCTACACTTTGAAAGGTTTTCAAATTGTTGGCTGTATCGATTTTGCATTCAAATAAAATTTGTATACAGTACAAATTATGCAAGAAATAGTGTACACTCTTATATTAAGATTGAAGCTTTTCTTTTGAGGCAAAATGAATTCTACCATTAAATTCTACACACTCTTGGATGTAGGAAATAAATTTAAAATTTCAAAAAATGATCAAAATTAAGCCAGTAAAAATCAATCAAAAAAACATCAAAAAAAACCTGTCACACGCAGTATTCATTAAAAATCTTTGGTTTTTATGCAAAAAGATTTTTACCATCATTTTAACCATGTCTTAAAGTGTGGGAAATAAATTTAAAAAGTGAAAAAAGAATGAAAATTAAGCTGTAAAAATTTAAGTGAAAAAAGGGTCTAATTTCAGTATTCAAAGTGAACCGTTGAGTTTTAAAAAATTTGGATTGCGCCATTAAATTCTGCATGCTTTAAAACCTAGGAAATAATTTTAAAACCTCAAAAAAACTTAAAAAATAAAGGACATACATGCATGCAAACAATTACTTGAAAAATGAGTGAAAAAAAATAATTAATAATCAAAATTAATTTTTATGGAAAATGGACTTTACCATTAAATTCTACAACCTTCAAAGTGTAGGAAAAAATTTCAAAAAATCAAAAAAACTCGAAATTAATGGCAAAAAAAATTAATTAAAAATGCGGGTTTAAAAGCGGAATGCGCGTGTGCTGTGCCGCAGCAAAAGCGCGTCAAAACGCGGAAAATGCGGGTTTTTTTATTAAGGCCCAAAAATAATTAATAATCAAAATTCATTTTTATGAAAAATGGTTTTTACCATTAAATTCTACGCCTTTTATATTGTAGGAAACAACTTTAAAAATTCAAAAAAACTCAAAAAATAACCCATAAAAAATTAATTAAAAAACCGCGTCTAAAAGCGGAAACCGCGTGTGCTGCGGCGCATCAAAACCGCGTCAAAACGCGGAAAAACCACGTTTTTTTATTAAGGCCCTTTTTTTTCATTAATTAATCAAAAATAAATTTCTAAAAAAAAAAGCAAAAAAAAAAAAAAACTCAAGAAAAAAAAAGCATCATCATCATTGAGGGAAAAAAAAAGGTTGGAAGAGAGAGAGTGTGTGTGTATATTTATGTATGAGAGAGAAAGAGAGAGAAAGAGAAAGAAGAGAAAGAAATAACTGCACAAAGAAGAAAAAAAAAAAAACACAAATAATAAATCAAAAGTAAGAAGAGGAAAAAAAAACGATGAAGAAGGTGATATGTCTCAGACTCAAGAAGCTGAGGAAGCAAAAAAAAAAAAGAAGAGAAGGAGAGTGAGAAAGGTATCAAAGGGATTGGCTAAGAAGAAGAAGGAGGAAGTAAGACGTGTTGGTGGTCGACGAGATCTTCATTGATGACCGATTGCTGAGGGTTTGAAGAAGGTTCGAGCACAGGCTCAGAAGGAGACGAAGACATGTTGTCGACTGGATGGTCCTCTTCTATAGATGTAGCAGATTTTAGAGAAGGAGAAGGATTGCCGAGGACCAAGGAAGAGTCATTTGCTTGAACGAGGTATTCTTCTTCACTGATTTCGTGCTCATCTTGGAGACTATCTTGATGCGAAGTGTGGTTCTCATTAGGAGTGGATGAATCAGTGGGACCTGGAGATGTAGTCGTCTCGGTGGCGAACTGGGGCCCGTCGGCATGGTCGGCCACCCTGAGTCTAGGCTTGCCTCGGATCCAGCCCGCCCCACCGAACTGGGTCTTCCTGATCTCATTCTTCTGTTCCGCGGGCTCTTCTTCTTCTTCTTCTTTCTCCACTTCCTCTTCAGCCAACTGTTTTGCTTCTGGCCCACGACTCGTAACCGAGTTCTTGTTGATCAGAGATAGGGAAGAGTGGTGTAAGCTTGGATCAGAAGCTGGAGTCGTAGGCGGTCGATGAAGCTTCGGCTTCCGACCTTCCCTGATCGCACCGTCCTTGTCGATCACCGGACTCCCTGTCAGCCTTGCACCACCGAAAAGACCACCCACTTGGATCTCCTCAACCCGGTCAAACTTGCCCCATCCCGGATTTCTCCCCACCTCGATCTTCTTCGTGTGTTCTTGATTTTTCTCTGTCGTCTTCGATGACGAGGGATTGTCGGCGAGGGTGGAGAGCGCGTTGGAAGTCGAAGGAACGGCCTTCTCAGAGACGACGACCGAATGACCTTCCGGCTGGATCGCCGAGGCGAGCGAGTCTCGGCTTGCCGCACGCATCTGGTGTGTGGGCTCGTAGACGAGTGGGGTCAGCCCGTCGTCCCAGGTCTTCGCTCGACCGAGCAAGATCAACGAGGTCTCGAGGAACCATTCACTGCGCTTGAGGTAGTGGACAACGACCGTGCCCCCATGAGGGCGATGGAGGAAACGAGCGTCCCGGAGCCGCATCTCTTCGGGGTCGAAGCGCAGCGTGGGCGAGGGGATGAATCTGGTAGCTGGTTTCGAGCTCCTTTGGGCCTCGGTTTCGGCCTGTCGGGTCTTGAGCTCATCATTCTCAGCTGCCATGCCTTGACGAAGCTTGTCCTTCAACGGCGACTCCGGCAGATCTTCCATCGCAGGCATCTTAGCCATCAGCTCGCTTGGAGGCCTGCCAAACTTAAGCGAGGGCTCTTCGTAGTGATCCCTGACGGGTGGGGTGTATTCTCCCGGACGAGAATAGGATGAAGAAGGCTTGATTGAGGCCGGGCCACCGATGAGTGAGCTCTTCTGTAATCGTTCATCGTCCGATTCAAATAGGACTTTGTCGAGCGGGACCATGTCTTCATAGTATGTGGGCCGCTTCCAATCCGTCTTAGTGAACCGGCCGCCGCCCTCGACCAAGGCTTCCACTTCCTCTTCCATGGTCATCATACTCTTGGGTGCGACATAACGTTCCTTCCACTTGTTCACGGTGCTGTAAGATTGTGCGCGATCCGGTCCACGTGCCTCCAATTCAGCCTCGGATAATCCCACTCTGCCCTCAGCTCGGACTCGTTGGACCTCATCAGGAAATAAGAACCCATGGGCATAGGTCGTTCCGGCTTTTGGATGATCATAGATCCAACATCGCTCGGTTACCCAGTTGATTTGACTGGCGTTAGGATGGATTCTCATCCATTTGGCTACTTTCTTATCTTCTGCGCCGGTCACATGATCCAAAACTTTCTTCGAACTGGCCACATAGCGGACCAAATCCGCGGACAGGGCATAACATTCTCCGCCCATGAACAAGTTTCGAATCAGATCTAGTCGGTTACAAACAAGAATGAGAGTAAGTTACAGTGCCACACGAGAAGAAGCAGGTTGAACAGCGCTTGCTCACAGCCCCAATAAGTCATTGTACGCGGAGCCACTCGGAGATGTCTCTCGAGTTCACTTAGCACGATGAACGAATCGTCATCAGCCTTGACGATAAAATCGGCTTTCTTGAAACCGACGCCGACGTTAATGGTTTCCATGCCATCCGGTGACATGACCCCACCGATTCCGTTAACTCCCGTCTTGGGTTTAGGTTCGTGTAAGGGATGAAAATAGACAGGGATGGTGGCATTCTGACTAGCCCAGTTGAGGAAGGCATAAGTCTTACCACGGTTCATGTTTTCTTGAATATCGAGTACTACGATATCGTTATAAGTTTCCATCTCGAGTGCGACTCGTCTGACGTGTTGTATCCGGGGACGACCGAGGATGAACTTGAGTTGTACGTTATGAGCGATCTGACCAGTGTTGGGGTCGATTGGTCGGGAGTGACGGGCATAGGTAGATCTGATGAGATGACGGCGTTCGTAGGCCGAGTCGACTGAGAAGACGCCAACAAAGACATTGACCGGGTCGAGAGAGTCGGCTAGTTCGTGAGGGAACTCCCTCTGTTCTTGACAGAAGGTCCTCCAAGGCAGGGGTTCCTTGTCGGTGTCGAGGTAGTGGATGAGGAAGATGGTGAGTGAGACGGCGAAGGAGATGAAGAGGAGCAGGCCGAGGAGGATGCCGAGTGGCAGACGGGGTCCTGATAGTTTTTTGAGTGAGCGGAGTGAGAGTCCGGTGTTATTCAGTGATCTCATCCATCGCCTCTTCTTCTTGAGGAATCTGTTCTGGATGGGTGTCGTCTGTTGAGGCTTCTGTTGTGGTGGTAGTTTGTGGATTGAGTTGATCTGATGTGTTGTTGTTGGTTGTGCTGAGAATGACTTTGAGAGTGCTTCATCTGAGAGTAGTGGATGGTTGAACAGGTCGATAGTAGTAGATGAGTTGTTGTTGCTGTTGATGTTCTTGGTGGCTGAGAGATGGTTGTTGAAGATGAGTGGGGATGATTCTGATTCGGATGAGTCGGTATAGTCTGAAGTGTTTGAGTCTGAGTAGTTGGTGATAGTCGTAGTAGGAGTAGTACTCATTGGTGGTAGTTGTTGTTGTTGGTACATGGTTAAATAGTCGAGAGTGAAGATATTTGAGGAGATGGTAGTAGGAAAGAAGGACAGCTGGGAAATTAAGGAAGGGGAGCTGGCTCGAGGCTGTTGACCGTTTGAGTGCTGTGTATGTAAACATCTGGTGGGAATGCTGTGAAAGAGGCAGTGGGCTGAGATGTCACAGGATTATGTAATCCAGATCTCCAAACTTAAGTAATCAAGATCAAAACTGAACCAGAGATCTTTCGACTGAAGACCATCAAGCCAGGGCCCAGAGAACAGATCACCTCCAGAACATATAACCCTCATAAGAAAGAAACAGATCAAAATAAGGTGGTTGATCTACAACAAAGTCCAGATTGCACTCATCCAAAAATAGGAAAAAACCTCCAAATCCAAACAATCCTCATTTTGATCACAATCATCCAGGAGGATCAACTTTGATACTTCAAGCAACCTCAAAGGGAAAATAAGCCTCTCAAATGTCTAAAACCAACTTGGAATTATAGAATTCACATAGCACAATTCTTAGACTAGAGATGTCACTCAATACCCGGGTACCTGTAGCGGGTGCGGGTACCTGCCTCAAAAATCCAATATTTTTGAAACCCGCACCTGCTAGGGCCGCCAGGGTGTGCGCCGGGTACCTGCAGGTACCTGGCACATCTTTGCAGGCAAATATACCCAGAAATCTCACCCTTGAATTTCTGCATGACTTGGTAAATATAAGATTGATATTCACTAGATATATGAGTAAGAATAAAATAGAAATAAAGAAATAAAGAAAAACAAATTATTCTATCAGAGGGAACCCTCCAGCCTCAACAAAGCAACTAGATTAGTTCAGCAACACATGTAAGACACCAGCTGGTGTCCTACATGGGTTGCTGACACCTTTGTGCAGCCCAACACACCCAAAAAAGGGAGTGTTGGACCACCAATGATAAATTAAATTCTTCAGGGGAAGCATTCGCAGGGTGGTTGTAAGGCGGGTGCCCGGGTACCTGCCTTTTTTTACCGCAAATGTTGACACCCGCACCCGCACCCGCACCTGTTTTTACCGCAAATGTTGACACCCGCACCCGCACCTGGTACCTGTTTCCGGGTACCTGCTTTGGAAAACAGGTACCCGCAAACGGGTACCGGGTACCTGCTGACATCTCTATCTTAGACTGCATGGCATGAAAATTCAATTTTGCATAATTTATCAGAATTTATCTTCCTCACTTTCTCATATTAGCGGGGTTGACCACCACAAAGAACCAGTTTACCACTTTATAAGCCTCCAAACAAAGAATTTTAAAAAAAATATCTCTCCACTTGTTTTCAATTTTTCTCTAGAAGACAGGAAAAATGACCAATTTCCAAAATTTCATCATATGGTTGATCTGTATATACAGGTCCTTAGAATTGTTTGGATTCCTTTTTCACCAGATAAAACCTCTTGAAACATCTACCATCATGCTTTACTTTTTTTTTCCTTTTCAGGGATTGAATTAATGCAATCAATTTAATGTGAAAACATACTTTATTGATCACTCACTCTAATTCCACATCAATTGCAATCATATTATCAGTTACTCATGAAGAAAGGGAAAAAAATATGATTGGTTTTTTTCATTATTCCATTTTCTTTTATCTGTTTTCCTAAAACTAATAATTCAAATGTGGAATATTCCATTGTAATCTCATACTGCTGTCAGGTAAATAAAGGGGGATCTAATGTGAAAATAATTTCACCCAACTGGTGGCAGTTGACATTCATGTTACACCCACTGTAACAGCATCTCTAACAGTCTGGGGACTGGGTGGATTGGCTGGACTTCAGAAGCCTGAAAACAGATTTCCCAAGGTGTCACCAACTTTTCACCACAGTTCAAAATTTGTGGACTGTGGGTTTGAGTGGGGGTGGGTGAAATGCTGCCAAATCTGCTGAACTCAGATTAAGCCAAGGGCAGCTTTAGTGTTGAAACTCAATGTATCACTAATCCCGGCCGGTGTAACTCTTAGGGAAGCAAGGAAGCATGGAAAACTGCACCAACCATAATCTCAACTGTGCCATCCATTTCCGCATCTCATATCTCAAATCTTAATCATCATCAGACCAAACCTAATCAACCTGTCAAATCTTGAGTATAAAAGAAGGCTTGTTCTTGACTCAATTCATCGCCAGTCTTCTCAGGCCTTCCAATCTCCCACAACATCAGACTGCCTCACTCTCAAGACTCACTTAATCTCTCCCATCAAGAATCAAAAAACTCTCACTTCAACCATCAATCTAAAAAAAGCTCAATCGCCTCTCGTTCTGTTCTTCAACTTGGTGAGAATTACACAATAAAGCACTCAATCTGTTCATTCTCTTTGCAACACTCATCTCACTAATGTTCTTGTGTTTTAGTCCCGCTTGCCTATTGTCCTGTCTCATCTTCTTCTTGTTGTCTGTCAGAGTTCTAACTAAACTCATTGGGTATGCTTCATTTATCTATTCTAATATTACTCATTATTGTTTCAGTGTCTAATTGTGTTCTCTATAGGCTCTGGTTTTATTTCTCAAGTAATCAATTCTTAGTGTTAGGTTCTTAATATAGTCCACCCCCTTGTGTTGGAGCAGTAATTTGTGTTCATTTTTCTGTTCTTTTTATTTCTCTGTGCTTCTCACCTTTCATCAGGTCTTTCACTCACATGTCACATGTTCCTCATTGTATACCTGGGCCAGATCAGTACGTGGAAGGAATCCTTTTCTCATCCTTTCACAAACCTCTATCTCTGACCAAGGTATGTCTTCATCTCTTTTCTTTCTTCTTTCTTCTTTGCTTTCTATTTTCTCCTCTGATTTTTTTTTCACTCTATATTGATGCAATATTAATCCTTCCACAAACCTCTATCTCTGACCCAGTTGAGTCCAACACCTTGACCTTCAGAAGCTCTCTCAGAAGGTCTACTAGATGCCAAAAAAGGCCTTGCAGCCCACTGAAGTTGGTCTCAAATCCCACATATGCAGGAACATTAATGGAGATGATGCTCTAATCCATGAGATACTGCAATCTATTATGATGTATGAATTTCTGGCCCAACTTACAAGTTAAATGATAGTTTCTGCACATCAACTGGCATGATTTTCTTGAGATTTTTTCCCCATAGTGAGACCGACGTATTCTTGGAAAGGAATTCTAGAACCTAGTTTCGGTTTCCACTGCAGTAGAAGAAAAGAAATTATGGGATTGCTGATCTGGTACTATAACTAAGTACTAGGTCCAAAGCATGAAAAAAAGAGAAGAGGAAAAACAAGACAAAAGGAAACAAGAAATCATGACAAAAGTTGTAAGAGTCACTCACATAGCACAGTATAAGAATCTTTACCAGGCCAGGAGAGGAGAAAGTGATGGTGAGTTTGAGTACTTGAGTGGATGTTGATGGATCTGTGATATGTTGAGTGGGAGAAACCAGAAGAAGGCTCAGGTTTCAAATCTTACCTCCCCCCCCCCCTACATAAGAATTTACAAATGATAAAAAAAGGGAAACAGAAGGGCATTCAAAAAAGTAAAAGGAAAAAAAGAAACAAGGTAGGATCAAAACTATATAAAAAAGTGTTACTTTGTGCACTGTGAGACAGATGTGCACTTGACTTTTTTAAAGTGGTAATTTGAACCCTTTTCATGGATTTCTCTTGTGGAATCAAGAGACAGGGTCCTTATTGGCTCCCCCAAAATTGCTTGGATCCATGTGACCCTGTGAAATGTGATAAGCAGAATAACAAAATAATTTGATCAAAATGATGAGGATACAGCTGAAACAAGCTGTCCCAAAACACCGTGTGGGCCAGCAACAATCCCCACCGGCTGAAAAGACAACCAATTCAAACAAGAGGGATTCCTCCCAGATGACAAGGCTGCATACCATCACTGGCCAGGAAGGGTTGGCATCCAAATTTGTTTGGTTGTACACCTTTCTCCATGGCAAAAGGTCAATCAAAGACCCCAGCTGGTTGACAACAGAAACATTACCTTAAAAGAACAATTACATGATTGAATTCTGAAGAGTATCCTATCAAACTAAACAGGATAAATTATTTTCAATAAGATAAGAGTTAGATCAATCAAAAACAAAACAGAAATAAAAACATCAAAATGTAGATCCCTAGCTAATGATCCCCTCCACAACATGATCAAAGCCAAACTTGAGTTAAATTATCTTGAATATTTGGGTGATGTTGAATTGTGAATAATAATTTAAGGATGTGGAAGGATTATCTTGACCAATCAAAGTTGATCATCATATCATTATCAAAATGCTTCAATTTGACACCAACACACCTGCTGTGCAATCTGATTCCAACAAGCCCTAAAACCACAGGATTTTTCTGGTTGTGATTTTAGGATTTTATTTGTAAAGATTTTCACTTTTTTAAATGTGTGTTTCAAGTGTGAGATCAAATCAATATAAAACGGAGTGGGTTTCTTTGTGATACTTGGATTGGATAGACAATGGAGTGGATAGATGTGTGTGAAAAGTCTTGGTACTCCCACTTTAATCTTGAGTTAAAAACTTTCTCCAAATGCCGCTGGTTTTTATAAAGACCTGAAGGATTGATTGATTAGTTCTTTCCTGGTCCTTCAAGTAGTTGTAAACAAAATTGTGATTCCACAACCTGGATACCATCCTGCCTTGGCTACTTTCAATCTGCTCCAATTCAATAACTTTTGTTTGATTGCCAGTATTCATTTTATTTAATCTTCACTCATTTTCACTGACCTGCCAATCTTTTTCCTCCAAACCTCATACATGTACTTTATTATTTTATTCTCATCAGTAATGACCACATTGATCCTTGAGAGTTATCACAGCTTAGCCTCTCTCAATTGCCTACACGCCTTGTTATTCCATTACAATATCTTCAATGAAGCTTTAAAGGTTCTCTCATCCTTTTCATCTTTGGTTCTTCTGAAATGATTTCTACAATATAATTTTCCAGCATTGTATTTTGTGACCTTTGTCTTTGCTTCATGGTTGGGGGTAAATATGTAGGTGGTAGGCTACTATTTCTGGGTGAAATCGTGGATCACTGCAACAGGGAACAAAAATATAGTGAGTTCCCCCTGGTTTTAGGGGAAAAACCCAGATTTCTGGGGGCTGCTCCCTGGGATTACACTCATACCCCATCCCAAACCCCGGGTTAATCCCTTAAACCAACAGTGAAACTATTGGTAAATCATTTTAAAGTAAAGATTTTTTTGTTAATTTACAATTTTATTGTTATTTGGTTTTTTTTTGAAAAGAATTACATTGAGGGCTTGAAAAAAATCCCTACATAACAGAAAGCATAGCCATTTTTCTTCTTGACTGATACCCCTAGATGCAACCTGAATGTTGGTATTTTGGTCTCTTTCATGGTTAAGTTCTTACTTCTGCCTCTCTCACTCTTCATCCATAATGAATAGAATCTACCTTATCATCAACTTGATTTCCCTTCAATATAGTCTTTCGTGTCATGTTGTTATGAAATTTGACCCCCTAGCTTGTAGTTTTAGAGCCCTGACAAAGGAGGGCTTATTATATCTCATACGTGCCTGCTTATCTTCTTGTATTTAGAAACTTCAATTGTTGGTGTTTATTGTTTTAACCTCTTAATTGTTCTTGAATAGCTATTTTTGTTACTATTGATTATTCATGTTCATCTGGACAACATCTTGATCACTCTTGTACATACTCATAGCATATTGAATCTGAACAAGTTACAAGAAATGATCACCAGATTTCAACACTGAAGAAAAATAACACCAATTGCACTTTTTGTCTCAAACTATCCTGAAAGTAGAAAATAAAATTTAACATTCAAATCTGTCAGGGTAGTGCTAATAGGGGACCAATTCAAAAGGTCGGAGAATATTGAAGTTTAACTAAGGCATGTGACTAGTGGATTGTAACATAGTCAAATAACAAATAAAGGTAAATTGGATGTTTTGCCACAAGTTTTTTCGCTCACCAATTGTAAACTTTTGAAAGAAAAACAAAAAACAATAGGTGAATGGATTGCACAACTTCTCCTTCAATCATGGGCAAGGCGGAAAACTTAGTTGAATATGAAAATAAGGAATATATAAGAGTAGGTGCTTGGTTTTCAATGGCTCTCTAAGCTGTAAGGCACTCAGGTTTAGTGGGGATTAAATGCCTCTCACAAAATTCCTTTATGTGGTGCCTGGTCATACTTTAAGGTTGAGTGTATGTGTCTACTGTTAATATTAAATTTTTCAATAAGAATAGAAATATGTTCTCATTTATTTTCTGTGCTATTATTTGTGCCATTCACCATAACCGGTGTGAGGTTAATGAGAAACCATTTTGTGATGATCGCAGAGGGTTGCTTGTGTGAGAAGCGGTTCTACGTGAAAAAAGGGAGGCAGTTCCACCTGTTGGATGGCGAGGTCGACTCAAACTTTCTTCCTGGCCTGAATGAAGATTGTGACGCCCAGATTTTCCTGGGAGAAAGGATATAGGCTGTTGGGTGTAATTATGATAAGATATCGGTTAAATGCCTGGTAATCTCTAGTATACCATGAAAGTTATTTACCTGAGGAGGTAGCTTGTAGGTTATGTTCAAGCTATCCATAATCCGTTTCATTGCCTACATGAGATAAATGCAGAAACAATCAACTTTCTTACGTTCACAAAGATTCAGGTTATGATTATACTAGTGAGGCCTACCTTCATAAATGATGTGCGACGCTCCCATCGAGCATCCCAATCTTGCCAATTTGATATGTGCTCCATTGCGACAAGTAACCTGAAAAGTTGAACGGAGGTAAGTAACCCCAGCTATCGGACAAAGAATAGTTCAATCAAACCACAAACTGAATGAGATTTTGATTGTGAATAAAATCAATATTTACATCCAAGCTGTTTAGTAAAGAAGAGAATATGGTTCAACTAAATCAATAAGTATATTGTTGATGCTTTTACCTGTGACTGTGCTTTGGTTGACAAAAGCTTACCCTCCCTTCCATTCCCGAGGATTATCAATGACCCATTGCCTCAGGCGTGCCCGAAACTCATGCAATGTCTCCAAAGGAGTATCGAAGCCGACCATGACTGTTGTCTGAAGAAGAGTGAATGTGCGCATCAATCAACAATGCGTAAATTGACATGAATGAGATCTTTTAGGATGCCTAACCGTTTCCCACATCGGACCGCTTCGACGAATGTTGGTGATATGCTTCTTTCCAATAAGCTGTGAGTTGGGAGCCACTACCACTTTACCATCCACTTGCTGGAATGTTGTCGAAAAAAGTCCAAACTCCATCACAAACATATAAATTCCCTCTGCACCGAGCAAGTGTTTAAAATTTTGTCAGTTGCTAGTGGTAGTTGGAGACGTAAGTGGCTTCCCTCAAGCGGGGTCATGACCAACCTATGAAAACAAGATCCCCTACGTCATACGGATGTATACTAAAAATGAACAGCATACTCTGGAAAATTTTTATACAGTTTCGAGCTTCAATAAGTTAGTAAACAGTGCTTGAATCAAAATTAGAGAAGGAATTGTTTCCACCTCAAAAAGATTTTTTGCTGCATTCCCAAATACTATGAAAGCCAAACATTGAGATTATTTCAGAACGAATACAGTCTGATACAAAGCTTTTGTTGGCAAAAAAAGCTTACTGAAAGAGAAACCTAGGATTATTGTTGCCATTGGTGCCAGTTGCAAGGATGTTGCTTTGGGGTTGAGGATGAAGAACCATACGAAAATTGTGAGAAGACAGGCTGCTGAAATCAAAACCCTTTGATGAAAATTATAAAAATCATGATGCCGATTGATTATATCAGTAAATGAGTCACAGAAGCATTGCGGAACCTCACTGACGCATCCAATTTGGAAACTGCCGAAGACATATCCTACATAGTTGGGATCGTTAGCAAAAAATCCAAACAGATTTGAGGTGTATATCTGCATACCTTCAAGCCGATAGCCAAAGCTCTCCTCTCCTTGTAGATTTTGACAACAGCATTTCGCATCTCCTTGCGATCGATGTCACCATTACCATCTCTATCGAACAGTTTGAACGCCATCACGGCATCATTGACCGTTTTGAAGTATGGCTCAAATTCATCCAACGTGATTGCACCTTTTTGTTCTTTGTCCAAACCCTCAAACAGCTTCTTGGCTAGCTTTCTAGCGGAGTGAGTCGATGATAGCATGCCCTCAGCGTTACCATTTCCTTTTTTAAGAACTGAGTTGAGAGCTGATGTCAACTGATCGGCGAACATCAAGATATTTGTGGATGTGCGTCTCTTTTCCGTTTTATCTATCAATCAAAGCTCATTTTCAGCTATTCTATTCTCAACAGCCCCTAAGTTTGTTTTTGACCGCATGGAGAATTGGTAGCCAGTTGAGTAAGTGCTTACGCTTTCCTCCCGAGGAGTGATTTATATTTGAATCCTTTGGTGTAAGTGGCACGTCAACTATTGTGGAATCTTTGGTTGGGGGCGTCCGTATACTTTTCTTGGTGCGTTGAGAATTCACTTTGCTAATTGGAAACTTCGAGTTTCGCTTTTTGGAAGAATTGGTGACCGTATTGGCATCAGCCAATTGGTCCAAAGCCCTCTGTTTTGGCGGGCCCGGTGCAACATTAGGATCAACAATATTAAGTTACATTTTTTAATCTTCCCCAGTCATTAAATAAATTTATATCTTGCTATTCGAGATTCGAAGGATTCTTACAAGCGCTTGTTCGTTCTCCTCCAGTCTTACTTTCAGGCCAGTCCGATGGAAATTTAATTGGATGACCTGCAGCAAAATCTGTTTTAAACATTGGAGCCATGAGATGTTTTTCGTATTCTGCTGGAGTCATTTGGATAGCTTACCTTTTCAAAGAGCAAGACTAAACCAGCCGTGAATGACCCTGCGGTAACCTATGCATATATAAGTGTGAGAATTTGCTCAGCTTCGGTCTTTGGGATAATGAGGATCGGTTGAAGTTGAACCAAGCAGAGCTTTTGAAAAGGGATAAATGCTAGCAAACCTTCTTCACCCAATGGAAATAATCTAAATGTGGGTCTTCGCGAAGACGGAAGATGCGAGAGAACATGACAGACAAAGTAACCCAATATCTGTTAAGTATGTAGAAGATTGCTAGATTTGAGTGTTCACACAGGTTCAATAAATGAGGAATGTGAACCTCGGAGGATGGGATAACATACGATGCGAAGCCTAGCACCAGTTTTGTCCAATACCTCACGTTCATCCACAATTCGACTTGAGTATTTAACGATTCGAGCCTTGAGCCATAAGAAAGGTCGACTAGGTTGATAACAACAGAAGGCAAGATATCTACAATCATCGCCGTTGCACAAGAGGCCGCAAAGCTAACGCTGATCCAGATAGACCATGCTAGAATGTGGCTTTTAAGTGATAAATCGGTAAATCTCAACCACACCAGAATTGCTGGCCTGGACACATTCAAAACAGTAAATGTGATGATATTGCTCTCCTATAGGTAATGTTGATATCAAAAGGGGCTGAAACTCACGTTATGGAAATACTGGTCCCCAATAAACCTATGACAATTGTCCTGACCGGCGATGAAAGCTTCATCAAAAAATAGTAAAATCTCCGAAGTCGCTTGGCGTGAGGAACGATATGCTGATGTTCTTGCCGCCCTTGCAGCTCGCGCCATCTTCGCTGGTCTCGTGCCTGGCGTTCTGATTCATCGAGTTCTGATTCATCGGTTTGATTCCAGTCAAAATCGGTCTCACTGCTTGAAGATGAGGAACCTATTGCCGCGGTCATCAAGGGGTTATCTTCTTGGGTGGTTCCTGTAACATTCGACGTTGACGGATCATTATCATTCAGCGCACGGTGGTACCGACGCGCCAGTGAGTCCATGGAAAGCTCATTCTGATGTTCACACAATGAATTTTGCTGAAAGCCCTCCGACTCTTCTTGGATACTTGAAGTGCCATCGACATTCCGGATGCTGAGCGGTGTCTCTTGAGTTGATGTGTCGTCGGGTATGATTGTTGAGACCTGCTGATTTTCATCTTGACGCGAGTGTCCAGATTTGAAAGATTTGATGGAACGTTGAATTTTCTTAGACTTGAGGCTGAAGACTGTTGAGAGCCTCTTCTCCAGTGGCCGAAGTTTGCGGAGCATCTTGAGGATTTAGCGCCAATTATGCCTGATGTTCCTCAAAATATCTTGAGTGTGATCGCCCAGCTAAGACTTGCTCAAGAAATTGGCTTCAATTGATCTGCATTGACTGCCCACCAAAGCGTGTTGTCTACTTATGAGTTGGGCTTGCAGGTTACCGGCAGAATATCCGAGGTAGCTGAGGTCCATGGATGTAAGAGCTATGTGGGTCGATGGCTATCCCCATGTAAAATCTGCGACTCAAGAACTAATTAATATGGTAAGCTGCAATGCGAACGGGCCTAAGGTCTCGTCAAGGCGCTTTCCAGAACATGACGCGCTGATGTGGTCTCAAAGGGGAAGCTGTAAGATTAACCCAGCAAAAGCATTCGAGATCTTCAGATTTGAGTCCCTGCTATGAACTCAAGTTGTCTTACGGGGACAGGATCATAGTCTCTTGTAATGTGGCCTGTGAGTCAGGAAATCACTGGAAATCTGAGCAGCCTGGGGGTGTCTGCTAACATGAACACGATCACTCACCAGGACCAGAGATGTCCTCAGCTTTAGGAACCTGCAAAATGACGATTTAACACCTCCGTCAATATTAGCCATAGCATTTCTGATCAAAGGCTTGGAGACTTCATCATTGAAGCAGTGATCGGAAGAGAAAGTGGAGGAACAAACTGAGAGCTAGCAGGAATCAACTTGGTATAGGTCCAGGGGAAATGTCAGGAACTAGGCTTGAAATTGAGCTTAACCAAATTTCAGCTGTTTTGATCTACAATTAGCGCTACAATACTCTAAACGGTAAAAATTCAAGTTAATCTGTAAGGCTTTGATCTTGTAAATACTTTATAAAAAGATTTTTTTTGGTTAAAATTATGGGAAATGCCCATTTGACCTTGAAAATGTGAAACATAAGGGTATCTCCACATCATGAATTCAAAATATTTTTTTGTAACAAAACAGCATGATATGAATGTATGTATCTGAACTGGCAATAATTATTCAAGTTAATCCAGTCAGATGACTACACCATATAGGGTATTTTTGATGCTATGTTGTCCAAATTAAAGTCAATCTGACTGAGCCAAACCAAGTGCCCACAGCTACCAATCTTGCCACTCTTCAGGCCAATTTCCATCTTGGAAATTGAATCTGGTGGAAATGGTGTACCACACATCACCCTTGATTTCCAGTTTTTTGGTGCAAACCCAGAACTGAATTATGGTTTGTGTTCAAAATTGGAATTGAAAATTAGTCTGGGTGCTATAGTACAGGCCTTAATTATTTTATCACACACACATGTCATGAATTTTCCATAAAAGTTTTAACTCAATTGGAATTGTCAGAAAGAACTGAATCTTGATGTGTTATCATTTCCCATGTCATTTTATGGGAAAAAAACTGATAAACCTGGCTTGCAAGTTGCCTACATCAAGAGGCCCCATTGTTTCAAGTGTAGAATTACATGAATCATGTTTTCTTATCAGGATGGCTCACATGTAAAAGATTACAGTAAGCTGTTTATTTGAAATGAGGAAAAAAAACAAGTGGATCTCATGCTTAAAATTAGGCTGTTTCCACTTTGGATCTTATCCAAGTTGAAAAATCAGAAAGTAGGCAAATTGTCTAAACTATACAGGACATTCTTAAAATGTGAGCCAGCCCTATTGGGGTGGTGCACAATTGGAATCCATAAACTTTTAAAGCTAACTCTAAAGCCTTTATCATCAAGATTACAAAAAAATTGACAATCTGGACAGAGTTGGGGGTTTCCAAACCATCATCCCTACTTTTTCATTTTTGAAAAACCTGTTGATAGAACCTTTAAAATGGTCTTTAAAATTATACAAATTTCAATTGTGAAACCCCCTACATTTGATAAGGATGAACATTTTTTGGCAAATTTCGGATGAGGATCAGCAGGGAACTGCCCCCTTTTTACACAGACAGCCCGACAACCCAGGGGGGTTTGATAGTTTGTTGCATCATCGCGCAGCCCGCAGCGCAGTCAGCAAACCATTCAGTGCTGTGGAAGCCAGCTCGAGGGTCCAAACCACTCCGAACCAAGCACTTGCCAAAGAAATGGGAAAACGAAAACGACAGTCGAAAACCGCTGGCCCTTCCTCGGCTTCCCAGAAACGATCACAGCAATCTCCAAACCGACTTCCATCGGATAGCCTCACGACAGATAACCATGGGCCAGATGTTCTGACAGTAAACCATATTGTGGAAGACGAAAGCCGGAATCCGATTGGCCACGAGCCAGATACAAACGCCGGAATCAGACCTGATCACAATGAGCATGAAAGTGTAGAAGAGGAAACGAATAATCTAGGCGGAGAGCAAGAGAACGATGAGAACGAGAATGTCGAAAACGAGGATAATGAAAACGAGAATCAGGAGAACGAGATTCGCGAAAGCGAGAACGATGAGTTGGAGGACGATTCAGAGACGCTTGCGAAATCAACAACGTCAAAAAAAGTGATCGACTTGAATGAAATCAAGAAGTTTGGACAGAAGGTTGACCGAACCGGATTGGTTTATGTTTCCCGAATCCCACCCGGAATGGGCCCTAGTAAACTGAAACATCTGCTCTCCAAGTGGGGCGCGATCGGAAGGATCTATCTGGCTCGAGATGAGAAAGCTGAAGAATCAAAACGAAAGTTCAACAAGAAAGGCAAGATGCGGAAGAATTTGAAAGATAAACATCAAAGTTTTCTGTTCAAAGAAGGATGGGTCGAATTCATAGATAAGAAAGTAGCCAGGAGAGTTGCTGAGATGTTGAATACTCGGCCAATTGGTTCGTAAACAACTTCCAACAAGCCTGTCTCATCATCACCCAAGAAAGATTATCAGAGTGATAGGGATACTAATCAAATGATTGTTTCACAACTCAATGATCATATATGAGCAGGAGGCAAACCAAGCGATCGATACTACTCAGATCTATGGACATTGACCTACCTACCGAAGTTCAAATGGACGAATCTGTCGGACCAAATCGCGATCGAACGCAGGATCAAGGAACAGCTCGTCCGAAACAGTCTTGAAGAGAGCAAGATTTCACAGGATTGGTATCTGGGTATGGTGGAGAAGAATTCGACCAACCAAAAGATTCTGGCGAAGCAACTCAAGAAGAAACCCGACTCGGCGGCAACCGCCAAGGCTGGCAAACCTTTAGATTTCAGACAGAGAGAATTGCCCTCCGCGCAGAACGAACATGGATCCAAACTGAAATCCGTTCTGGATGGGCTTTTCTAACTCACATAATCACTTACTCATTTTACTCAACCAACTCGTTTTCTTGTCTGCTTTCGATCATATTTTTCACCTTGGCCTAGTACCAAGTTTGTTTTCAACCAACCATCTCTTTCACATTTACCTAGTACCAATATGCATGTAAGACCGCGCCATACCCTCACAACGACAACTGGCTGAATCAAATGTGCATGAGAGCGATTGATAAACATTTATCTTACTCACAAGACTAATCAAAAGCAAGTAAGCGACCCCTTTTTTCTTCAGAAAAACAGCAAAGTACATTCCTCACGATCTGAGACAATTTTGAATAATAGGGTTCCCAGAGCACACATTTACATTAACCAATAAAATCCATCTTTTGGTGTTTTCTTTCTTTCTGGATGTCTTTGAACATGATTAGTATCTTTGGATGACCAACAAATGCAAAAGAATCACAAAATGTTTCGATAATCCGGGAAACCCTAAATAGATATGAGAACAACACAAACATTTTTTGTTTCATCGAAGTGAAAACGCAGAGGCTCTTAAGCCTAGACACCGTTGAACGGTGGTCAGTCCTGTGCATCACAGTATGTGGTCAAAAGTAATCGGCTGTAAGGATCCTAGTGCTGCCCGCAACCCATGCAGAATGAGGAAAGATGAACCTTATCAAAATCACCAGAGGTTCTACCTGCGGGTGGTGCTCAAGCTGAATACATCACCTTCACAAGTCTCACTGCGTTGAATATGATCTAGTCACCCCCATTCATATTCGGACCTCAGGAAGAAACACACTCTTTTGCTTTTCAAGATAACGATTTACTGAACATACAAGCAGATTGTGAAAACGGAAAGAATAAGAAAAGTAATTGTTATACAATGTGGACAACCGGCTTGATGCAGGTTGAACATGCAGACGAGCAGCTCTCTGCCCCATCTTCCCCAATTCTCTGTCTGCTAATGGTGTCTAAGGAGCTAGCTAAGAACTAGCAGCACTCAGGAAAGCTGTTTTCGGGATGCTGAGCGTCAATATCATTCCACCACGGGAAATCGTGCGGAAGGCTTTCAGGTAAGAAGCTCGGGTAATGACGAGTCAGGATCGATTTGAATTCTGCGATAGGCCAAATTTAACAGGATGGAAATGGTCAGGGCTTGGTTCAAGGGGGGACAATTCGAAGTGAGATGAAAGGGGGCTACCTTGAGTGACGATCTCGTATCCCGCAGGAGTGAGATGCAACCCATCGACCAGGTAAGTGGACAAGCCGCCCTGAGACTCATCTGCCGCCTTGGTGATGGCCGTCCAGGTGTCGATCACCGGGAGGCCTTTCTGTTGGGCGACCTGGCAGACGAGCTCGGCGAACAGCCGGGTCCTGACTGGGTCCCGGTCCATGTTTTCGGGGCGCCAGTCCGGAAACCGGGAGGCCAAATCAGCGGCACGCAGTGCCACCGAGATCGGCGGCGGGGTAATCAGGACGATCAGTAACTGCGACTGGTCTTGCTGTGAGTTTGTGGGGGAGGCGTGCGCTTGGACCATCTCGATCAGCTTGTTCATATTTTCCACAAATTGCTCCGGCGTCACTGTCTGTGGCTTCGGCGGGATCACTGCATCGTTTGCCCCGAACCAGATCGTCTGTCAAAAGCGAAACTCAGCTACATATCATTCACTTGGCTAACTTCAGTCTTCTAGTCCTCCAAGCTAGACTTACCACAATCCGTTTTCTGGGAAAGCTATAACTCTCAGGAGACTTTGCCGGAAATATCTGCACAATTTTTCGACACGAAACACATTCATGAGCTCAAAATAGGTCAGGGAAAAAAACCCCGCATGGGATGATGATGATAATGTTGAGCTGCAAAAAGGCCAGAGGCTCAGGTGGTAAAAATTGACCTTTTTGGCAACGTGGAGGCCCCAGGTAGCTGTGTAAAGTTGCGGATTGGAGAAGGAGATTTGGGGATGAGGGCATGTAAGACGTAGAAATTACTGGAGCGACTGGGTCCAAAGGAACAAGCGCTCAACTGTTGTAGCCCGAGAATCCCCGGTTGACTACGTCTCTGTGATTGGTTTCATAGTGAAAGAACAAAGTGAGTATCACGAGTGTCACACAAAGGAGCACCGACGAGGGTGGATGGATGGATGGAGGAAAGATTTGAAAAATGCATACAATCTGCGTTGGTAGTAGTCGGCTAGTGCTGAGCCGGTCCCACCTGCTTGCCAAGCGAATTGGGTGATGCTGTCCCCAAACATCACCAGCTCGTCCATCGAAAACGGCTCGCACTTCGTGGTCGACATTTCAGATTGTGTGGGCTGGTGCAAGTGTGATCGTATTACGAATCAGCTCCTCTTGTCTCGACCAGTGCGCATTATTTCGAGATGGGGACGGAAGAAGGAATGTAAGACTCACTCGGACGGTTACCATGATCAGCTTGTTTTCGGGAGCGGCGGAACACTTGACTTGTTCAAGTATACGGAATGTTTATAGCGGAAGAAGGCCTTACTGTTGGGGATGATAGAGTGCTGTTTTAAATGGCAGTGCTGTTTCAAATCGCCAAAGCGGAGCAGTCAATCGGAGTTTTAGGAGTCCGGAGAGTGTTATTCGAATTTGCGATCTCCGGGCATCTCCGGACCAGGAACAAACTCCGCAGTGGATCTGCAACCGGCACCAACGGAGTTTGCAGATTAAATACACTGATGGCCTGTCGTGACGGATCGGATCGCACGCAGTGGTCACTGGTGGGATTCAAAGGCCCACTGCGACACAACTCAATCAAGCAATTCAAGCTCAATAATCCATCACCCCTGATGATGTTTGATCGCCCATTGTTTTCTGGTCACAGACATGTCAACCACCTCTGGCTTAAAATCGTGGCAGGGCATATCCTCATATCCACAGGGGCGACCTTCCAAATGAAGATGAGTCCATGGCGATATTCCCTGTGGCAGTCCCGACTCCCGACTGTCTATAACGAGACTATGAACAATCGAATCACTGCACAATTTATTGACTTGGGTGTTTGCCATGCCGTGAGCCATGCACACCTAGCGCGGTTGAGGGTAATTCGAAATCTAGGCTGCACCACCCTTCAGAAGATGCCTTAGCTTGAAGCGTCAGGTTTCCAAGTTGCGGTTCGCATTTGTGATGCACTGCTTTTCTCCGGTCTCTTCTCCTGAAACCGTCAAGCCTCACAGGGGAAGGGGCCGTCGAGATGGCAGAAAGATCCCATCCACCATACCGGCACGTCGTCAACACAAGATAACGATTATGATTAGCCGGTTGTAGGGGTACATTAAATCCATCTCATGGTAGCCTAGGAGTTCAACCATAAATTTCTTCCAAAGCAGTAACTGTTACTAGCTTCATTTATCAACAAGACATATGAACCATGACCTGCAGGTGGTTCAAAGAAACTCCAGTGAATCTAATTTTCTCGAGAGTGTTTTCTCGAAGGCTTCAGTTGTTACTCACCACACCCGTCAGCAGCCGGCACCCTTGCATATGGGAGGTTTCAGAACCCTAATAACTTCGTCATCGACTTCGGTTTCACATTGTACTGCTCTCTCAAGATGTTTCGCAAGCTTCGGCCCTTAGACGGTAAAATTTCATCCGCCTTCGGCCTCAAGAATAAGAAAAGTCAACAATCCTTCAAATCCACTCAGTCGCGACATTCGGCCCAGGAAGAAAATCAGCAGATGATTCCCGACGGCACGCATAATCAAGAACAGCCGGTCAGCCCCAAGCATCTTGATACCACTCCCCCGAGTAAAGATACGATTGGGAGAAGATTGCAACCAGACATATCACGCGAAGGTCAGAATGATGCTTCTGCGGGCTCGCTGGCATCTCGATATCACCGTGCAATGAAGGAAGACGTTCAGTCAGCCTTAAATCTTGCGAAAGAGATCGGAGAAGAAACACCCTTGAAGACAGCGGGAAAAGGCTCATCGACTTCAAGCAGCGAATCTGATTTTGATTGGAATGAGACCGATGAATCAGAACTCGACGAATCCGAAAGGCAAGAGCGAAAACAGCGAAAACTCCGCCAGGCTCAAGAACTGGAGCAGAGCATCCATCACGCCAAGCGTCTTCGGAGGTTATATCTCTTTCTTATGAAGTTTTCAACCCCAGTCAGGACCACGATTATAGGCGTTTTGGGAAGCGGTATTGCCATCACGTTGAGTAGAATATCTCTATATAATGTCAACCCTTATCTGTCAATGATCATATCCAGTCTCTGATTATCCCCATGTAATGCTTCCAGGCCAGCGATTCTCGTATGGCTGAAATTTACCCAGTTGTCAACCAGAGAGCATGTTCTAGCGTGGTCACTTTGGCTTAGCATTAGCTTTGCTACTTCTTGTGCAACATCTATAATTGTTGATATCCTACCTGCTATTGCGATCAAATTATTTGAGCTGCTGTATGGTGCGAAGCCCGAAAAGTTGAAGACCCAAATCGAACTCTGGATGAACGTCAGGTATTGGACCAAAGTGGCTCTGGGCTTAACTTGGTCAGTCATCTAATCCTTATTTCACCGATAAACGGATTTCAATTACTCACATGTTAACGTTCTTCTGAACAAACAGTTATTGGGTGGTCTTATCACTAATACTTTCCCGCATGTTTCGCTTTTACAAAGACCCGCATTTGGCGTATTTTGATTGGGTGATGAAGGTTAGCTAGTTTTTTCCCATCTCCCCAAGACGACCCCTGATTGGAATTGGTATCAGCCCAGTCCTTATCGTACCTGTTCATGGAGCCAATCAAACTATTAACATTTAATTTCAAAAGGTTACCGCAGGGCTGTTTACAGCAGGTGTAGTTTTGCTCTTCGAAAAAGTATGCAATTTCTTCAAATCATAGTTCTGCATAGCTTTCTTAAATCTAACGGCTTAAAATTCCAAATTCTAAAAAAGATTCTCCTACAGGTGATTCAGTTGAATTTCCATCGTACCAGCTTGAAAGACAGGCTAGAAGAAAATGAACGCGCACTTGTAAGACCATTCAAGCTTTCTACTTTGTACAACAAGAGCCCCTTTTTGCGACGCCGGAAAACACCGAAAAACGGCTAACCTTGTTCTTGCGGATGACCGTGACCGAGAAAATAGTGGGCTTTGGACCGATTGGCTGCTGCCAAAGGAGTCTCGCATTCTCCTAAGAAACGAAACTCGAAATTTCTAACCAGTTTAACTCATCATCGCACGAAGAGTGGACGGCAGACGCCCGGCAACAAGGATTCTACAATTGTTGATGTGCCGTCTACCCCAAAGACTCCGAACATGGATTCTTCTGCAGACAAGCGTAAGCACTCCCTCCAATCCTCACCTTTCAGTTTCTGACGTTCTTGTATGATAATTATCTAGGAACAGCTGAGACCAGCACCTCGGGTGGGATATCATCCACGCAACATAAGAGAAATAAATCTTCAAATCTCTTGACGGTCACCGATCACTTAACTTCAGCCATTAATTCAGCTTTGAAACACGGAACCAAGGGCGCCAGAGGTGGGATGATTTCATCCACACACTCCGCCAAAAAGCTGGCCAAGAAGCTCTTTGAAGGTTTGGACGAAGACCGCGGAGGCGTCATCACGCGGAACGAATTCGAGCCATATTTTAAAACCGCTAGCGATGCCGCAATGGCCTTCAAACTTTTCGACAAAGATGGCAATGGTGACATCGATCGCAAGGAAATGCGTAATGCCGTGGTTAGGATCTACCGGGAGAGGATGTCTTTAGCCATTGGTTTGAAGGTATGCATACAGACATTGTGCACCTCAAATTTTCCTAAAAATTCAACTCAAAGATCTCCAACTTGGTAGGATATGTCTTCGGCAGTCGCAAAATTAGACGCGTCAGTGAAGTTCTCAATGTTGAACAATGTGTGAATCGCTGATTGACGTACTACTTGGATTCACGATCTTCACTACAGGGTTTTGATCTCAATAGCCTCGATGCTCACGATTTTCATATGGTTATTCATTTTCAATTCCAAAGGGACATCCTCTCAGCTGGTACCGATGGCTACAATTATTCTTGGATTTTCCTTCAGTAAGTATCGCTCACAAAGCAAACCTTTGCATGAAAATTGTTAATCTAATCAATCTTGCTTGCTTGCCGTAGTATTTGGGAACGCAGCCAAAAACTTATTTGAGGTGAATAAAATTTCAGCTCTAGATTCCACGATTGTCGGCGTTCACGAACTGACCGTAGAAAAGAAAAAAACATCTACATCGTCGCCAGAGCATGCTATTCATTTTTAGTATCCATCCATATGATGTTGGCGATTTGGTTGCAATAGGTTTGCCGTTCTTCGGGAAGAATATTGTTATGAAATACTCTAGCATACTAACTGGACACCTTTTGCACTTTTACTTTGGGCAGATGATGTTCACATGTTTGTCACGGAGTTTGGGCTTTTTTCAACAACCTTTCAGCGAGTGGACGGCCAAGTGGTAGTGGCTCCTAACTCGCTTCTTATCAGTAAAAAGCATATCCTCAATATTCGTAGAAGTGGTCCGATGTGGGAAACGGTTAGTCATTCTGCAAGAGGACGTGTTTTTGATAATATCTTACTTAGGCATTCTCCTCCTCCTCCTTGTTTCAGACCGAGGTCATGGTCGGCTTTGATACTCCTTTGGAAGTCCTGCACGAATTTCGGGCCCGATTGAGGCAATATGTTATGGATAATCCTCGAGAGTGGAAGGGAGGGTAAGATATTATTGATATACACTAGTCCGTGGGTGCAAGAAGTCGGTTGAAAAAAGCAATAATTCAATTCGGTCACTTTTTTTTTCTTCCTCAACTAGGCTGGACGTCAACATCGAGTTTATCAATAATCAAAACCTGATACAGTCGGTCACTTTTCCGGCTCTATCTCAAATGATTATACTTGTGACGCTAATTCCTTGCCCCCAAAAACTTTTAGATTAATCATTGCAATGGAGCATAAATCAAATTGGCAAGATTGGGGCGCTCGATGGGATCGTCGTACATTACTGATGAAGGTATGTCTCACCGGAAGACTTGCCATTCAAATTTGTGTGCACGAAAGAGTGTTGACGGTCGTTGAAATTATGTTGCATAGGAAATGAAGCGCATTATGGATAGCTTGAACATAACCTACAAGCTACCAACCCAAGTAAATAAGCTTCTCTAGATCCTTTTGACTGACATACGCGAATTTAACCTACCCCACTTTATGCTTGCCCAACAGCCTATATCTCTTCTTCCACAAAAGCCTGGACCTCGCCAGCGCTCTTCAAGGCGCGAAGACACCCCGGTACAGTCCCAACACCCACCCAGCGCAGTGCCCTCACGTGCTTCTTCAACTAATGCGACCCCCACTCGCACGAACAATCCCTCGCACGCATTCCAAAGTGGCCATCCTTTCACCTCATTCAGATTTCCAGCCACTTTGTAACTTCGTTGCTTCTGGTCTTTCAAATCAGCCCCTCAATCGCGTAAATCGATCCTATAATCTTATTTCTAATGTTTGGTTCTATTTCATAATGTTTGGTTTTTTTTGATAATGTTTGCTTTTATTTGATCTTAATGTTTGGTTTTATTTCTTAATGTTTGGTATTATATCTACTCAGTTCCTTGTGGAAAATGCCTAACCAATTTGTACTTGTTACTTGAAATCGTGCAAAAAAAATTGTAATGTACATAGCGTCCTTGCCGCAATCAGTCTTATTGATAATGTTAGGAAGTGAAACTAAAGGAAGAGTTTATTTTTCACTTTGGCCATCTATTTCACGCGGATTTAATGTGTGCAGTTATAAACAGCTGAAACATATTGGTTCATGGGCTCTTCTCTTCTCACCAACAATTTTTACTCCATTTCATTCTATTGATGGGATTATCTGACAAACCATGTTCCACACCTGCGACCCCCCCCCCCGGCGCTCGCGCAGAACCTTAGCCAACAAGTTCTTTTCAAGAGAGTCTTTGTAAGATCAAAGCCTTAAAGGACAATCTTGTCATTTTTGGTTGCTTTAAGTCTTGGTGAGCTGCCTGTATGCGTGAAGATCGAATGTCTATGCATTCAGAAAATAATCTTACGGAGGAAGGAATGAATATTCCCTCGGAGGTATTCACAAAATTCAAGATATTCGCGTAAGTCCGCTCGTTAGAGTCAGCGGAGTTCCTCACAGGCATGAACCACATAGACCGCTTGGGGATCACCGGCCTCATACCTGGCGCCAACCGTGGACAACATCAGCCAAAAGCTGGTAAAGCTCAGGTTTTCAACTTGTTCCTACCGGTTGGCATGGATCTGTCAAGATGATTCCTGCTAGCTCCCAGGTCGCACCCCGACTTTCTTTTCCGACCGCTGTTCCAAACAACCCGCCGAGCCTCTGACAAAGCAGACCGTCGATAACGCATCGATTTCCCGCCAATCATGGGTGGTACGCGATCGGCTGGTTGTGGGGGTACATCAATCCTCCTTCAGGGTATGTAGCTTCCAAGCTGAGCGATCATGTCCACTCTTCTAACGATAGATTATAACCATCGCAGTAGCACACTTTTGTATGCAGTCCACAAAGTCATCTTTAACACTATTTTTTCAAAGAGCCTCAGAATTCAGCCAGTAAATATTCACCCCGCCAGCTCGACAGCCTCATCCAGGAGGTTTTGAGGAACAGTAGGCATACTTTGTCTTTGGCGCTAGATCCTCTGGTTCCAATCCTTGTCCAGGATGCTTCGTAAACTTCGGCCTCTGGAAAAGAAGCTTTCAACTGCCTTCAGCATCAAGTCTAAGAAAAGCAAGCATTCCATCAAATCTGTTCAATCTGGATGCTTGCGTCAAGAAGAAAATCAACAGGCGCCAACGATGATACCTGATGAGATGTCGACTCCAGGGCCCCCGCGTAGCATCCCGGATGTTGATTGCGTTTTGGATACTCACGAACAAGCAGGAGAACGTTTACAACGATATGCACCAGGTCAATATCAGAGCGAAGTTTCCACGGACTCACTGGCATCTCGATACCGACGTGCGGTGAATGACAGTGATCCGTCAACATTGAATGCGGTAGAAACGGTCGAAGAAGATAATCCCTTGATGTCCGCGACGGCAGGATCCTCACCTTCAAGCAGTGAGACGGATTTTGACTGGAATGAAACCGACGAATCAGAACTCGATGAATCCGAACGCCAGACACGAGATCAACAAAAATGGCGCGAGTTGCAAGCGCGGCAAGAACATAACTATACCATTCGTCACGCCAAGCGTCTTCACAGATTTTATCGTTTTTTGATGAAGCTTTCATCCCCAGTCAGGACCCTGATTATAGGGTTTTTGGGGGCCAGTATTGCTATAACGTGAGTGGAAACCCCTCTTGGTTATCCACTTTGTCTCTCGCTGACCTTTCTGAATATTTTCAGCCCAGCGATCCTCGTGTGGTTGAGGTTTACCGAGTTATCACATAGAAACCAAATTCTCGCATGGTCGATTTGGCTTAGCACCAGCTTTGCTGCCTCTTGTGCAACGTCGATAATTGTCGAAATCTTGCCGTCTATTGCGATCAAGCTGTTTGAATTGTTTTACGGCTCAAAGCCCGAATCGTTAAATACCCAAGTTGAATTGTGGATGAACGTCAGGTACTGGGCTAAATTGGCAATGGGTTTCGCGTCGTATGTTATTTTATTCTTATCATGCCTCCCTTATTCGACCTGTGTGGAGACTCAAATCTAGTAATGTTCTACATCACAGATATTGGGTGGCTTTGTCCGTTATGTTCTCCCATCTGTTCCGCTTTCGTGAAGACCCTCGTTTAGAATACTTTCATTGGGTGAAGAAGGTTTGCTAGCACTAAGACCTTTTTAAAAGCTGTCTTTGATTGAACCAGTCCTTACCATCACAAGCAACAGAGCTGAGCAAAATCTTTTGATTCAATTATACATAGGGGACGGCGGGGTTATTCACAGCAGGCGCTGTCTTGCTGGTGGAAAAAGTAAGCTGTTCACGAAATCCATGGCCCTAGCAAAACACAAAAATCCCTTATCCTTCAAATCCCCAAAACAGATTTTACTACAGGTGATCCAATTGAATTTCCATCGGACTGGCCTGAAAGTGAGACTGGAGGAGAATAAGCTCGCACTTGTAAGGATTCTTGAGATTTGAAATCTGGAAAATATGAACTCTTTTCATGACTGCGGACGAAAAGAAATACTCTAACACTTTTTCGGCTAATGTTGCGCCACGATCGGACAATAAGTGGGCTTTGGACCGATTGGCTGCTGCTAAAGGGGTTTCGCATAATCCCAAGAAGCGAAATTCGAAGTCTCGAAGCAATTTGAATTCTCGACGCATGAGGAATGGGCTACAGATGCCTCATACCAAAGATTCCATCACAGTCGACGTGCCACTTACGCCAAAGGATGCGAGCATGGATTATTCAGGAGGAAAGCGTAAGTATCTATTCCCCAGCTTATCCTACTTTTTACAATTCCTCACGCTCCGAAAATTCTTGTAGGAACGGCCGACAATAGAACACCTGAGCTTGAATTGATGGAAAAAAATCAGAAGAGACGTAGATCTTCAAACTTCTTGATATTCGCCGACCAATTGACATCAGCTCTCAATTCAGCTGTCAAGAATAGAAACAGTGCTACAGGTGGCATGCTGTCATCAACCTACTCCGCCAAAAAACTGGCTAAAAAACTGTTCGAGGGTTTGGACAAAGACCGTGGAGGCTTCATCACGCCAGACGAATTTGAGCCGTACTTCAAAAAATCCAGCGATGCCGCAATTGCGTTCAAACTGTTTGATCAAGACGGAAATGGTGACATCGATCGCAAGGAGATGCGCAACGCCGTGGTCAGAATTTACAAGGAGAGGAGAGCTTTGAGCAAGGGTTTGAAAGTATGTATTTTAGACACCTGAGTCCTCAAATCCATTGACGTTTGACTCAAAGATGTCCAATTTGCTAGGATATGTCCTCGGCAGTTTCCAAGTTGGATGCGTAAGTGAATGTCTCTCATGCTTATGTGACTCTTATCCTGACATAGAACTTCGATTTATGGTCCCCATCAAAGAGTTATGATCTCAGCAGCCTGTCTTCTCACAATTTTCATATGGTTCTTCATCTTCAACCCAAAAGGAACATCTTTGCAGCTGGTACCAATGGCTACAATGGTCCTTGGTTTCTCATTTAGTAAGTTTTGTTTGCAAAAGAGACTTTCACATTAAAATTGTTAAACTAATCTCAAATTTCCATTGTAGTATTTGGGAACACAGCAAAAAATCTTTTCGAGGTGCATCTCTGCTCTAACCTTGACTGCCTGCCGAGACTTTCACTGACTGATTGAAGAGAAACAATCATATTGAATTTTGCCAGAGTATGCTGTTTATTTTCAGCATACATCCATATGACGTAGGGGATCTTGTTGCCATAGGTTTGTCCCGGGCTTGCTGGAAAGTCTCCAAGTATTCATATCAACTGAATAAACTCATTTTATACGCTTACTTCAAACAGATGGTGTTCATATGTTCGTGATGGAATTCGGGCTCTTCTCAACAACGTTCCAGCGAGTGGACGGTCAAGTGGTAGTGGCCCCTAATTCAGTGCTCATTGCAAGGAAACATATACTAAACATTCGTCGAAGCGGTCCGACTTGGGAAACGGTCAGACATTCTAAAATGAGGAATTCTTGAAAATTACTCCTAACTCATTTATCTGTACATTCAACCTTGCCAGACCAACGTCATGGTTGGCTTTAATACTCCTTTAGAGATCTTGCATGAATTTCGGGCAAGACTGAGGCAATACGTCATGGATAATCCTCGAGAGTGGAAGGGAGGGTGAGGAACCGTTATCCTACGCACAGCCGATGAGTCAGAGAAAACTTGTTGTAACTGATGTGCTTATCATCATGGATCAACCATTTCCTTTTCTTTACTAAATAGGTTGGATGTCAATATTGATTTTATCAGCAACCAAAATCTAATTCAGTTAAGCATTTGACCCACTCATTTTCTGGAAGTTGTTGATACTTACCCTTCAGATATTTAGGTTAACTATCGCCATGGAGCATAAATCAAATTGGCAAGATTGGGGCGCTCGATGGGATCGTCGGACATTTCTCATGAAGGTATATTTCATTAAAAAAATGACAACTCAAATCTTGGTCAACGGAAGAGAGTTGACCCTTTCTGTATTTATCTTTCATAGGAAATGAAGCGGGTAATGGACAGCTTGAACATAACATACAAGCTACCGCCACAAGTAAAGTCTCTCTGAAACTAGTTGCAAGCTTCCCGGACATTCAACTAATCTATTTTTTCATAATTGCCATCAACAGCCTATATCTCTTCTCCCCAGAAGACCTGGGCCTCACCACCTTTCGTCGAGCCGCCAAGGAAGTTCGATGCGATCCCACCACCCAACAGGTGGTGGCGTGCTCTCACTCTCTCCCAGTCGTGGAGCCGCTGCTGGCGCAGGCCACTCCTCTCATCCATTTCAAAACGGTTATTCATTATCCTCACTTCAATGACCAACCACTTTGTAGCGTAAATTCCCTGTAGTGGCCCCTCAATCGCGTACTGGATACTTGAACGTTTGAGTCCCGACAATCGCTTTCCTGTGTCATTTTCCTGTCCTAATCTTTTGTATAAAATCAGCATCGTCTGTTATGGATTTCATGACAGTAGCTCAAAACCCTCTTAGCTCTATCCCCATCACAATTGTTAATTTTTTTTTCTAATTGATACTCAACTGCTAATCTTGAATGCATTTTCTAGTACAAGAGGGCCGCCTTAGATTTTTTTAGGTATCACTATCAATACATTGCTGGCCCCAGCAAACCAGTTTGTCATTTTTTGTTTTCTTCTCACCGCCAATCATTTCATTTCATTTTCTCTTTGGAATCAAATCCCTAAATAAGTTGGAGAGAATGCTACACATTTTCATGGATAGATGGGCGGATTCTTCATGCCCTCAGCCAATAAAGATTCTCAACAGGACATTTTTAAACCGGCGTTTCACAGATCAGAAGTATGTTTGCTTTAATTATCTTTTGATATCAAATTTGGCATTTTACAATTATGGTGGGATGTAAGACTATAAAATGAAAAAAGTTAAGTGATCAAGCTTTATTTTCAAATCTATCAATGGTTGATTGGATTGAATCTATCAGGGTAACTTTTGGATGTACATGTAGTTGGTGTATCAATGGCTGGATATAAATTGTTTGTGCTAATCTATGACAGGCAGGATGAATACCTCTGATCGAGAGATTTGAGTGGTAAATGAGGAGTAAGTAAATTGAAATAAGAGAGAAAGAAATGCTTTTCTCCACTTTAAATGCTAATATTGTAGCCTGGTCGATTTGAAGGAACCTATAGAGGGATGAGATGCAAGCTGTGGCCCGAAGTGCTGGCTTGGCTGCCTATGCATTCCATCTTCAAACCAAACACTACCCTGGGCATTTCTACCTTGTTCCCTGATGCTTTTTGAGCTGTGTGTGTCAAGACTGTTAATAGGGAGTTCGGCGATACTTCCAGGCTGACTGGCGCGATTCTGTTGTTCACTGCGACTGTAGATCGACATGCTTTCACGCTCCAAATCATACATTCGATCATCTGTGGGAACGACCTTCCGCTTAATCTTGAATTCGCTTGGAGTCGGCGTTCGCGCCGAAAGCCTGTAATTAAGTGCCATAGAAGTTGTTTCGTCGCTCCAACCCGGTTGATTCAACTCTTGACCTATCGGTCCATCCAGTTGATGAAGCTTGATGTCTGATGTTGCCAGTTCGCTTCCAAATTGCTTCGTCTTTTTTTGCCGTTTTTTCCGTTGCCAAAGTCTCCAGCTTAACAGACAAGTGGCGCTGAACGTAACCGACAGTAATATAGCAACGAGCACGATGAGCCAAGAAGGAATTCCCTTGGAGCCAATTTCTGAGTTGGCGGCAAACAGGTCTTGCAAGCAGACTCCCCAATCCGCAACGATTTGTGTTGTGCTGTTTGCGCATACGCTTACATGACATTTACCCTCCTGGAGAATGTCGCCCATTCTGCAGCTCAGACAATTATCAGGTCCGATCCCGCTGCACGTCTCGCAGGAGGCTTCACAGGGTGAACAGCGACCTCCCGCGTTGAGATCCACAAATTTTCCTTTCGGGCAGGCCATAGCGCATGTTTGAGTCCCGGGATCAAAGGCCGGTCTAGTCTTCGGACAGCTTTGGCAAGCTGTTGGGGATTGCGTGCAGTTGCCACATGAAGCCGAGCAGGGTAAGCAGACGTTGACTCCTTTGGGTGCTTGTGGCGTATCGTTAGCCGTCACACTGGGAAAGGTACCGGCCGGGCATGTTTCCGTACACGTCCCTGAGTTGAGAAGCATATTTGGATTTGCGCAAGTGATGCACTGGGGATGGCGCCCGTCTCCTGATAGGTTGCAAGTTGAACACCCGGCCGGACAGGCCGTACAGTGACCATGAAGATCATCGTAAGTACCGCTCGGGCATATGCCAACGCATCCACCCTCTGATCCCCCAGGTCGGTCTGGCAAAAGAAGAGCACCTTCGACGCATGCTGAACAGACTGCGCCCCTACTGCTAGCCAATTGGGGGTGAAGTAAAGAGAATCCAGGAATGGTAGCGGCCGAACAAAGATGTGGAGCGGGGTCGCAGATCCCTTTACTTTGATTGAAGAGGAAGAGACTTCCGGGCGGGGAGAAGCAGACACCCGTGTTGGAATCGACATCAACGCAAGTGGCACCGAGACTGGGAGTGTCGTTTCCGATATGACCGGCGGAGAGGAGAGCCTTGGGTGAAGCGCATTGAGTGCACGAGTTTGCTGAAGCTCCAAAACAATTTTTGCAGGCCGGATCACACTGTGCGCAGGTGGAATTCTGGGAATTAAAAAAACCATCACTACAAGAAGTAGGTGCGGCGCCATTCAAGTTAATCGTCGAAGGCACGCAAGTTTTCGAATCGTTCTTCGAGAGCTCGAATCCTTGAACGCACGACTGGCAGATACCAGAAGGACCGGTGCAAGATTCGCAAGCAGGGCCACAAGCTGGTATATCCAGAACACAAAGACAAATTAGTGCGTGGAGTATGGCACCAATCGGAACATCTTGCGAGCCGAAAAAAAAATCGACGAGAAAGAAGTAGGCAAAACAACTCACCGACACATTCCCCTCGAGAGTCAAGGAAAAACCCAGCCATGCACTCGGCACACAGTGTTCCGTTTGATGACGAAGTAGTCCATCCAGAAGAGCAAAGACAGCTTGTGGTGCCCGTGCATACACCGTTCAAGCAATTACAATCTGCGAGTAAGGTCAAAAGTTTTTTTTGATAGAAGTCTCCAAGTTAAACAGTGGTCAATTTATTTTTAGAAAAGCCGCAGGAACTGGACGCACTGTTTTGAGAAATAGAAAACAGTTTTTGTGCCTTGTTTAAATTTGGATTGAGTGAGATACAGGTACCCGTGCCAGTAGTTCCATCATCGCAGGTACTTTCCGGTGACTTATCACAGCTTGGGCATCGTTGACAGTCAATTCCAAAGTACCCGGAACCACAGGAATCTGACCCACCCAGGAGAGAATTTTTTTTACACTAATTAGCTTGAGTAAAATGGAGATGGGGTATGCCACAAGGGAATCCTAGGCTCACCACAACGTGGGCCTGTATATCCCGTTTTACACTCGCAAGTGGATGTCAACCGATTGCAACTTCCTCCGGATCCACATCCGCCAGGGCAATTGTTGGGCTCGACTGACATCAACTCAAGACTCTTGATGCTCCACTGCTTTACGTTGGGGCAGCTATCGTGCGCGGTAAGTAGGACAGCTCCATTTCTCCCAAAAGATGCCTGAAAACCCTTGCCTAGTAAAAAGGAAGCCACATGCGCCTTGGGGTTGTCGAGTTGTTCTCCGAGAAGCTGAGGTTCGTCCTGATAGAGCGGACGAGGGTAAACGATCATGGGTGATAGTTGGGTAACCACTAGGCCGGCTTGTTGATCAATTGTAAAGCCCGGGTTGGCGCGGACACTAGCAGTATCGCGAAAACGGGAATAATTTCCGGGTGTGAGGAGCGTGCTAGTGACAGAATTGTTCAACACTACACCCGTAGATAACTGGCCAATGGAACCATTGAGACACGCTTCCGGTGTGCACAGAGAGTTGAAGGTGAAACCAAGCACTTTAGGAGTGATCAGGGCCATCCCAAGAAATGCAAAAATAGCCAATGTTATCTTCTTGCCAGTGACACCCGACATCCTCTTTCAGCTGATAGGTTCCAGAAAGTCCACGAGAAAATTAGCGGGTGCGGAAGGAGTGAGCTGTGTGATCGGCAAAGAAGCTTGACTTTAATACCAACTGAGCAATAAGATAGAATGGGCTTTGAGGAATTGGTTTGGCGAAGTGAGTCGAACAAGCTCCTGTTTTTAAGAAGGATGGCTAGCTTCTAGATCAGGTGAGATGAGAAAGTTGGAAATGCAGGAGTAAGCAGGAAAGTGGGTGGCAGGTTGATGTTTGTCTGGGTGTTAATCGAGCACTGTATCTACGCTCAATTCCGGGTTCAGAAAGCCTGAGATGTTAGGTGCTCTTGTTTGATCATTTATTTAAAGGAGTGAGCATACAAATGACAAAGTCGGACGAGAAATGATGACAGAAATGAGACACAGAACCAAATCCTAATAATAGTTTGAGCTGTCTAATGAGCCAAGAAATCTTGCGGAGCAAACCTCAGCTGTAAGTTCAGTCGGCGAAAAACTGACTGGTGACCTTCAAGACCTCCTCTTATGAGATACTGAGCTAGTACCAAAAACTCCGAACGAAAGCTGTGGAGTCAAGGAGGATGTGGATAGACTGAAGGGGAATATCAGCCGGTTCGGCCTGTTAAGCATGCTCTCCCCAGCATATCACTGGTAGGTTTGTATCTACACCGCCAGATATTGCACATGACATGACGATTTCTCTCTTCGCAGGATCGAGCAGTAGTGTTTCTCTCTCGCTCGAATGAATCAGATACAAACAGCTGATGGCAATATCCTTCCTCCTTCAATCTGTCCCTTTTAGTGAAGGAAAGCAAATCAAGCTGCTCCGCTTGTTGCTAGCTCCTGAAACCTCATTAGTAAAACCGAGGCTGTCCCAAGACTACAGGAAGAAGAACGATGAAAGGGCGGTTACATATCGGAGACATCCAGTACCTAGGACATCACCTGTATGTGTCCGCTTGAAGCTTGATAATTTATGGCAAGGCAACAAGAGCAAGAGAATCTGCAAGATGACCGGGCGATCCTCAGGAAAAACTCCCATGGGTCAGGTCCGCTCAATTCACCGGTTGCAATAACTTCAAAATTCACTGGTCAATTCCGAAACAGCATGTAACATATCAGGACAACTATCAGGACAGCTTGATAAAATTGGCAAGCTGCCAGATTGCAGCCAGACAACCCTATAGAAATGTTGTTCACCATGAATCCTCTAGCTTAACAAAGCCTCTCCCGGGGCGTCCCCGCGGGACACTCTCCGTAGGAGAGGGAGGGCGCGCTTCGCGCGCAGAAAAACCGACTGCAGGCGAGGGACTTGTGAATCCTGATTTTGGAAAATTCATACCACACATTGATAAACATTCTCAAAAAGCAATTCTGGATAATACTACACATTAAAATATGTGATTGGGGGACAGACCATTGGTAGGAAAAAATATTTGACCACAAATTAGGTACACATAGTATTCAAAAAAATATAATATCAACAGGTATTTGAAAACTTGATCTTCTGGAACTTTTTTCTGGCCAATACTTGTTCGTTTTGGTTCAATCATTTTTTTCCTGGGATGGAATTTCTTCAAGATTTGGAGCTTGGGAACGGTGAATTATTAAGAAATTGATCACTGGATGAAATGAATTAATGTAGTTGGAATAATTTTTCCCCGCCTTTTGTGCAACAGAGTCAAATCTACTCAACTCAACACCAATACTGGGGAAATGATGAATGGTGGTTCAACTTTGCACGAATAGAATCTCCAATTCCCATGAAACTGAAAGATTATGCACACATATTTTTGGTGGAAGCTCTCTTCCCTGCAAGACAAATTCTATTTATGTATATATGTGTTGGCAGACAAAAAAATTTGTTCCATAATTTTGGGGAATAATTGCACATGAAAGAAAGAATGAAGAATTAAAAATGTATGGCCAGGTAACCATTGAGCTCAACTCACTGGATATGTGTACTTGGTTTAGTGGTAGGCCTAGGTTGTGATATTTGGGAAGCCTACAGGTCCACCCAACTCAGTTCCAAGTTCCAACTTATCATGAATTCATCTTTCAAAATCTGATGAATAATAATCCACTTGCTGAATAGTGTTCCCTTGCACTGGGAAAATTTGTGTTTGGAATTATTCTTGTATTATTATTATTTTTGGGTCTCCTTGTGGCATGGTTTGATGAGGGCAGATCCTGAATTGCATGTGTAGAATATCAAGGTTAATGATCCTCTGAGTTCCTTCATGTTATTGTTGATTGATACAAGGAGACCAATATCCAGTACATTATTGGCAATTTGGCCTCACACTTGCTCTGGACTGGTTTTTTTTCAAGTTTAATTGCAAAATGGGTTGTGTCAGTTACAGCCCCCTGCGGCAAGGTAAACTGAAGGCAACTGATACTCCTGGACCAATTTTATATAGGTTGGGCCCGCCAATACATTACAAGAAAGGATGATGCATTGGTGGGACCAGCCAATGCAAAATTGGTTGGGAATGCCAATCTTATATTGGTAGCCATTTATCTTTCAAGATCAAGAAGTCAAATTCACTTTCAACAATTGTTTAATTTCATTTGATTATGAGAAAACTTGAAAATATTTCAGATACCTCTCATTTCTAGTCTATCATTTATGTATTGAAACCTCTCCTTTTAATAGGAATGGGTCCTTTCTGTGCATCATCATTCATGGAGTGATTTAGTGAGCTTGAACTTGTCCATTATTGCCCCTAAATATCAAAGAAATCTTTAATTTGTTTTGCTGCAATTTTGTCTCTATTCCCTTCCTCTCTTCCATTTCTTTCTTACTTATGCCTTCATCACCTGTTCTATTTTATCATTAGGATCTACCCTCTCATCATCTTGAATCCCATCTCATTATAGTCTGTCCTATCTTCCTAGTTATGAAGTCTGATCCCCCAGCTTGTAGTCTTAGAACCCTGACTGAGGAGGGCTTGTCTTCTCTCTGGTTAGTCTGCTTATCTTCTTGGGTGGAGTTATTTCATTTCTGGTGTCTGTGGTCGTACCCTACTGGCTTTTATAGAATATTCTTTTTTATTCCATTCATTATTATTTTTATTCACTTTCTTAACAACCACAGCTTGAACTCTTGTATCTAGTCTGTTTAATCTAACCTAGTACAAGAAATTAAAAACCATCGGTTCTCCTCCTCATTGAGTCCTGACCACTTTTCGTCCCATCAAAAGTGTTCACTGAGTCCGTTCAAACTTCCTCTCCCAAGTCATTGAGTTCAGATTTCAACATGTTTACCTAACTGATCTATGATTCATTCATTTCAGTCACTTTTTGGGGGTTCAAATTCTTGGATTGGGATTGGTATTAGTTTGGCTTTTAATTTTGTATTTGATCTCCACAGTTTTTCTAACATTTTTTTGGGTCAGAGGGAATGGAGTTTGGATGGGATTCCAAGATCAATTGCACTTCCGGAGGTCAAGTATGTTGGATAAGGGATTCCTTTCCCTCATATGTGGTGGAGGTTTTACATAAGAGATTCCTTTACCTCATATGGTGGAGGTTTTACAAGGAGACAGGGGTATATCACAAAAAGCGTTGTAGTAATTAAATATGTAAAAAATTCAAAGTTTTTCCTTTATACACATTTTTCTCATACATCCACTCAGAAATCAACCTATACAACTTCAGAAATGGACTCTACGGACAATTTCAGCCTAGGTCACCACTGGACGCATCATTGGAACCCTCACGGATGCAAAGTTACACCTCTACGGACACATATCACAAAGCCAATACCCAGTCAAGCACATGTCACAACCCTCAAATCATCTCTCAGTCATGCTTATACACAGCTCACGGTATACACATAATTTCCCACACCTCGTTATCTCCACCGCATAAATTAGTTTGGTTTTATTTGTCACCTCATGCACTGCCTTTGCAGGCTGCGCAGTCTTGATTGAATTACTTTTCCCACAGTTTATTAATTTTCTCACCTCATTTATGACAACAGCTGTATTTTTCCCACAATTTATTGCCTCATTTGACACTTTCTCACATTATTTACGCACTGCAGCACAGCCTTTGACATTAATTGTACACAGCCTCTGTCAGCGCCGGTCTCTTATGTGACCTGGCGTTGATGGGATAAAGGTCTCACTATAGCTGCTAGTGTTCAACTAGCAGCCAGTGGAAATGAAACCTCGCCTTGACGCTGGAAAGCGGAGGGGTTAAGCTCCCTGTAACTGTAGGGGACGCTTGCGGTAAGGACCTCGCAGCGCCGGGCTTAGAGTGTAAAGTAACTCTCTTCTAGGCTACAGTATTGACTTTACTGTAGTCTAGGGATTGGATAGGTGGATAAAGATAAAGGGGAAGGATAGTTAATAGATTAAATAATAACCCCACTCACAATTGTATGTAAGGTGCACGGGTTGTATGGTAATAATCTCTGGGGGGAGGGTTCTTGGGAAGAAGACCTCCCCCTTAAGTATTACAAAGGCAGGGGTCAACCTGCCTGTGAGACCGGTGAGGCCTGCAGAGGATCATTTATGTATATAATCATAAATGATCAAAATATGTATTTAAATTAAGCTTTAAACCAGAAGTGGAGGAAATGATGTCATTCAAGCTCAAAGGAGAAAGAATGATGTCATCTCTCTAATTACAGTGTATAGAGAGATGATTAAGATTTCAGATTGTATGTATATAAAATATGAATATTAATACAGAGGTGAATACTTAAGTAATTCCGTGGAATTACTTAAAGCATAAAAGTATAAAAATAAAATAATAAAAATATAAGATCACATAATTGGGATTTGAACCCAAGTGTGTTGGTGAGGCAATGTCATAACAAAGTCCTTAACCAATACACTACAGTACATGTGTTTGTTGGTTAAGTACAGGTTGTAGACACATGGGCTACAGCCTCAGTGTCTGACAGCCTCACTGGTTAATTTCCCCCACTTGCATGATCAGACTAGCTAAATTCACTCATTTGTACCTACAGGCCAGCTAAAATCACTGTTTCTTGTCTGCCCTGGAACTTAATTACCTCACATTTGTCTATAAAAGGAGGCTCTCTTCCCCCCATTTGTTGTCTCCTCAGTTCATCCACCCATTCAGCTCAGTTCATTCACTCAGTACATCACTTAGCAGTCAATCAATATACAACTCACCAGTTAAAACAATTATATAAGCCTTTCACCTGTTACATAACATAACAGTTTCTTTTATAAGCAATTATATATTCAACCTTTACTTTTCATAAAAACAAAGTTTATACCTGAACCGATCAATCCTATCACGTTATTAAAACTTTCCAAGCTAAGCTTGGGGGTCTTGTTTCTGATAGTATAGAAGGGCAGAGTTTGCACCTCCATTTTTCCCCTTCTCAATTCAGCAAAAGGGTTTCACAACCACTTTTGAGTCTTACATCGTATACTAGGAACAAAAATATCTATGTTTTGGTTGATTTTTTCAGCTCCTGTTTGATTGAAAAGGTGGAACCTCCTACTGAAAATCAAGGAAATAAAATCAGAGAATTTAATTTGGAGGGAGGCAAGATTGGGCAGGAAATTCTACCTTCTCTGTCACAGTGTCGAGCAGAACCTATAGGTTGCCACTAAGTCTGTATCATGATTGAATTCACAATCCCATGCCAGTAAGACCCATTAAGCCCCCTACAGACAGGAATAGACATAATTTGTTATTTTTTTGGCCCAAACTACAAAATTGCACTCTGATGGTATGGATGAGCACATTTGACTAGATGCGCGAATATTTGATGTATATCTGTTCCGATTGTGTTCTTCTCTTTTTTCCATCTACTTGTCTATTCTGTTTTGGCTTAGTAGACACAAGTGAGTGCAACCATAAAAATGACCACTTTGGCTGCTCTTGGCGAAAAGGGGGTCGGGGCACTGCTTGGCACAAAGAAAGAAAAAGTCCCCCCCCCCACTCAGTAGAAGTTTATGCAACTGTCTATGAGTATGAGGGAGCTCCAAAATTTTGCGTCCAAGATACATCACTTTTGGTAGTGTTCCCTCATGTACCCACCTTTATAAGGGTTTTCTTAAGCACTGTTGAGGGCCCATACCGAACAAAACTGAAACACTTCTTTGACCATGTCAAACGTGTAACAAACTTGGACTCTTTATATTCGGCTTTCTTCATCTTCGTACCATGTTCCCTCACATCTGTACAGAGGCACGGTTTGAATCTCACTCGCCTATGCCAAGGCATCACACAGGTACTGAAACAGAGCCAAACAGGATTTCTGTCTATATCGGCCACTCTTTTTTCCCAGCATTCTACCGGGGCAGCCTCCATTCCTGAAGTTTGCGTGCTGAGCGGCACCGTATTCAAACCTACGACGATTCCCCTTCTTCAGAAACGTATCCCAGCGGCCAACACCGAGCGACTAGTACCATCAACTTGAGCAATCTCGCAGTCACAGGCTCAGGCCAAAATCCTTCTTGCGGGCCACCCTCTCTATCTTACAGGTCATCCATCATGCGCGTCTGTCGTCGATGGCTCATGGCACTTTTCGTCGAAATCACCACTCTTGCTTTGGTCACCATGGCGATTCCCGTCAAATTCTCACCTGCGAGCTCTTCTCAACCCACTGCTTCCTATCGAGGTATGATGGGAAACAGTTTTGCTCCCAATACTTTTCATCCTCATGACGACCCACAACTCGCCGCCACAATTGAAAAGATTTATCGTTTGAATGACAAGCAACGCGCCAGAATAGGAGCCAAATTGGCGAAACTCGATGCCCCACCCAAGCCCAAATCCCGCTTTGCAAAATTTTGGGAGCGTTTCCTCAGGTTTTTCAGGCGCAAAAGAACCCCATTCCAGGCGACATTGGACAAGACAAAGACTCTCGGTGGAGCAACCGTAGGACCAGTAGTCACCGGACTCTCTCTGGGCGCGTTGAGCGCCTGGCTGCTTGGAATGTCTGCAAGATTTGCCGAGGCCATTCGGATTTCGGCCTAGTACATTTTCTGCCAGACTTACGATGCCTTCAGTTTAGTAGGTTGATTGGACGAACTGGTTGTCTTTATTTGAAGATTAACTGGGACTATTATAAAAATTGCTCAACTTTGCAATATTAAAAATCAACACGCTTCATCCCTTCGATTGAAAAAATTCCGCGTTGACATGCCCAAGTCTCTCTGCAAATTTCCACAATGTAAAAACACATGGTAAAATATACGGACCGCTCTACCGCATTCACAATTGTCCCGGAAGCTGAGAACATCTCAACAAATAAATAAATAAAAACCAGCTTTCAGCCTTTGAAATGATATCTTGATTGCACCTGTGTATACTTTGACTAGGATTGAAAGGCTGAAAAACCATCAGCGCTTACCTTGGCTGCGATGGAATATTCAGATGACTGAACAGTAGTGCCAACCGTGGTTGAGCTTTCCTTGAGAGGGGAAAGGGGGCTTGCTGAAGTATCATCCACGCCAAATGAACGCTATTTTCTCGCAAAACTCTTTGGCCGGAGCTTGGCCCCTTCTGCTTGGACAGCCGGCCCTCCTAGTCTTCCCGCCAAAAAGACCATTTTTTCTTCAAAGGGCTCTTTTGGCCATCCTGAAAAGTATGCAGCTAGCAATTGAAAAAGATGGAGATTTACTTGATGAATCTCTATCCTTTTGTAAGTATATTGGTGGAGTGAGAAGGGCGGTAGAAGGGGGGACGCCATTGGCAATGATTGCCTGCATATATACGAGGCCAAATTTCCTACACACCCTCGCGATGAGCCACATTCGCAGCGAGCCAAATAGCTCAGTCTCTCCCCATGAATCTGTGATGTCCAGATTAAGGAACTTGCGAATCCGCAGTTTATCAGCTTGTCTGTTGATAGTCTGATGAACATCGGCCAGCTCATCAACCCGCTACACCAGCCGCGAGGAAGACGGCCGTGAAACCGGCAAGCCCTTTGATAAGCCTTCGCCGCGCCATATAGGCCCTCGCAGCCTACAGGTGATCTTGCGAGCTGTGAGTGTGACTTACGATCGCAAGGTGGACAAGACCGATGACGTAATAAGAGCCCAACCGACTACCACTTCCCACTTCCAACGGTTTCTGAGCCATCCAGAATATTTGAGCCAATTCATAGTCAGGCGACCACGGTCCACTTGAGCTTACAATTTTGAGTATTCAGCACTCAAGATGTATCTAGTTCCCAACGGGGAAGAATCGAAGTCAAGCAGGTTAAAGCTTCTCAACAATGGTCCAGCGAAATCATTCGAATCGAGTGAGTAACTACCGTCCTATCTTGACCTATCATTACTTGACCATACACTGATCGGGGATCTTGCTCTGATAGGTCCGTCTGACTCGGGATGGGGGACTGGATCGGAAGGTGACGCCCAGTGAGCTCAAAAGAAAGTGATCGATTCACTGCCGACTGAGTCACTGAAACAGTCTTTCCGTCACCACCATAGTGATCCTCATAAAATTGGTAAGGAGAAAACTGAAAGTTTATTGGGAAAGGCCGATTCGATTATTGACCAAATAGGAGGTATTTTGAAAATTTCATTCGATCGAAATCGCAACCATCCCGGCGTTGTCGTTCTCACTCTTGATTATGCCTCTTCTGGCTTAGAATCCTGGGAGTCTGAATTTTTTGCTCAGGTTGAACCCATCAAAGAGGATTTCAAAAAACTCGCCCATCGAGTTCGAAATTTGATGCTTACTGAGGCTTCCATTTCCCAAAATTTGAGGTAGAGAATCGTATTATCTCCTCTTTCTTCCCCGAAGAAGAGAATCTGAATCCAATTGTCTGCGTGAATAGCAACTTGGTAGAGGCCTCTCACTCGAATGACCGAGAGTTGAGGAATGAGATTACTGGAAATTTTGGAGAAACATTGGAACAAGCGGTCAAAATGAATGTAAGCTTCGAGACTCTTCTTGCCAGGGCTTTTGGATAGCTGAGTATTTGCTGTTCAGGCCCATATTCACGAGTTGCAAAAAAAACTCAAAGTGTTGAATGGGCGGATGAAAAAGAAAAAGGACGAATTTATTGATGATCTAGCTTCTCTAAGTCAGTTCATTCGACCTATTGACCCAGTCTCCCGTATAAAACTAACCAACTTGTCACATAATGCTGGCGGTATTTGGTCCCGAACACTGCTTTCTTCAAAATCTTCTTGAACGTAGAAGCCAAAAATGTGGAGGAAATGGACAACTTCAAGGAAGATTTAGCAAGGGAGACAGCGAGTTTTCCCGGTAAGATACAAACCGCAAAGAGTACGAAGGCCGAGCAGAAGTATGTTGTTGTTTTATCCTTTTAACAATGGGAAGCGATTTACGAAAGATCTGATAATGTTTGATCAAACTTGCAGGCAAGTCCAGTTGAAGTTGGCCAAGATCTTAGCTGATGGTCTACCCTGAATTTGATACCACATGGATGATGGAGGACAAGCATTTACTTCAAACGATCTTATCCTTGCGTGGTTTTGTTCATGTCGGCAAATGCACATGTAGAGGGCATATTTGTTCAACCGAGCCGATCATTTCAAGATCCAGAACTTATAAAGATCTTTCGAAAAACGCGTGATGGCAAATATTATTTATCTTTTCGTGTGAACTGAGACATTTTTTCGATGGATACGAGTTCTAATTTCTCTCTGAAGTGGACAGTTCCCCCACTTCAGGAGCCACAAGGCGTACCTTAGCAGCGCCGGCACCGGTGCTCCAAGACCCTCAAGTTACATATCCAGTTACTAGCTGACCCCCTGAGCTTCATGCCAGGCCTCTGGACATATCATCTCGCAGATTGGACCTGCTGTATTCGAGCAGTCTTAATACCTCACATGTTTCTGAAAGTGTGATGTGACTCAAAAGTACGTGCTTCATTGTGCCGTGAGCTGAGTTTTACGATGAAACGCAGGATGGTTGAAACGAGCTCCTGTTCGACCGTCCGTCGACGCGTCTGTCACGACTGTCTTCAACCAGTCGGAACGATTTTTGCGTGTCCATACGCCGAGGATGTTCCAGTCGGGAGCTTTTAGCTGCTTTTGGTCGGTGAAAATTTTGAGTGTGATCGGGATCGGTAGGTAAAACTTGCCCCAATGGATAGCTGAATTAGCATGAAACCTGTCGCAGTGGCAAAACTGAAGACACCAGAATCCAGGTCGTCATCAAAACCATGTACATCTCCTCCAGCTTGGGTCCCATCCTCACCCGCGAATCAATATATTTACATCCATGCTATCCGCTCGGCGCTCGGGTCCCCAAAGTCACAAAGATAATCTCACTACGCAACATGCAATGACCACTCGTAATTAGGTGTCGCCAGGTGTCGCCTGTTTCGAGGGTCTTTTTAAAAAGAAATTGTAACAGAAAATGTGTAAATATGCCGCAAGGAACATGCAATCCTTCTTGAAGGTTAATCTTTCTTTTGCTCTACTCGTAAGGATGAGTCGTGCCAAGTCGTAGAATGGCGCGAATTCTAACGGCTCATCTTCATATTTAGGAACATATTTAAAAGACACCCCAGGCAACCTGCCGCCGCCCCACCTGCTCCAGTCCAGCTCATGTGCGCTTCAGCCATGTTATGTAGTGCAACCTGCAAGCGGCAAACAACGATAATGGCAAGTGACTCCGGTAAGACATGTCGGGAGTACGTGCTAGCAGTGGTGCCGACTCCGAGGGATAGTTACCCGACGATTTTTTTACAAGTCTCAAGCGAGGACTCTCCCTTGCTGTTTGAGATTCATAATATTCCTCCATACTGGATCGAGAGCGGGTCGATGTGGGGCGATGGCGATTGATGGAAATCAAGTCGACACTCATCCCAACATGTATGGTTATATCTGCATATCTCTGGTATACTGTCTCTGCTACTGATACGTGTCGAAAAATCATAATCTGCCAGCCGAGCGGGCCTCGTTGAACGCTCTTAGACACCAATCTCTTTTCCATCAAGGCCATCAGCCAGGGCAGTACATAGCATTATTAAGCTCCAAGCTTTCCTCCGCCAGATTCAGCCAGATTCCCTTTCAAACCCCTCTCTCATTAATCATTGTGCGGCCAAGTGGCATATTTCTGCCAAACTACGGCACATCACACAGGCTCGCAAGGCTTGACTTGACGGCTATTGCCATTATCAATTGCTCGTTCAAGTCTGATTTCCACATCAAGCGCTAGTGATTTCAAGTCGTTCACGAAACGCTGCCAACTGCCCACACATACGACCAAGCCATCCGACCAGACAAACCGGAGCGTGAATGGTAATATATTCACGCCGTGATTTTATTTGCCGCCACTCGGAACTCAGCAGCACATTGGTCCCTAGGCATATCATTGAGGAGATAATTGGAGAGCAGAGGCCTCGGGATTCACTAGGTACCTGGAAGGTTGCCGCTCAACGTCGGTCATTATAACGGGACAATCATTTGCTCTGGTTTCAACACTTTCATCCACTTGAGGATATCGAGTGCCATCATATTCAAAGCTACAAAAATTCACCACTATCCCTACTTCAGCAACCCCTTAGCTTCTCCAGACACTAATATTACACAGACCCGCATATCAGCTAATCGAAAACCAGAAATAAACAAATTTATACCACGGCCCAATGTCAAATTGCCAAGAACCCAAGAGGCTAATGAAGCGTCAATCTAGCCAACCTGCCTCGAATGCAACTGCTGCAAACCAAACCCTTTCTCAGGCGAAGGCGAGAGCAGAAGATCATCACAACGACAGCGTCTCTCGTAACAATACTGAGCAGCACTTCGTACAAAGTGAGTCTATCCATCGAAAGAACCAAACGGATAAAAGGTAAATCAAGCGGATGTGTATCTATCTCTTCTTCCCACATGCAGAGAGAGTACCTTGGGCATGTGCAGACAACATCCTCGCTTTTGTGTACTAATTTGTGCTTTACTTCTAGCGATACTGAACATTCACAGCCTGGTGAATCCGCAAGATACAATTCAACCGTCGTGGATCATTCCAAGGACCAAAGCAGGGAGAACACCGCGTCCAATCACGCCACCAAGGAGACCCCAGACACTGGCGGCAAACTTAACAGTACTGCTTCAAACTCATCATCAGCTTTGTCGCTGAACACATCTATTACTCCAGATGCCGTTGCTTCAGCGTCCAGTCAAGCTTTTAATGCAAGCCAAAGCATCAGCAACAATACAGCGGAGAACCCTTATTCACCAAGTATCACCTCTCCCTTGGCAGTTCAAAATTCACCCACCCAGCTCGACTCGCCCAATAATTCCACGTCTCCGGTGAACTTGCAATCTCCGACATCTGGATCACAACCTCAGGATAGTCATCACTCGAAGGGAAAGGTTTGGGGTATCGCCATTGGCACTTTAGCAGCAATTGTGATGGTTGCTACAGCAATATTCTTTATAAAAAAGCGCCTCAAAGGATCGACTGATTTCGTCCGTCGCCATCTCCGGTCACGTTCGAACGATAGCAACCGGGCAGTTAGAGACAGGTCCTCACTTGAGCCCCAATTTGGGGTCTCAGACCCATTTGCTTGCTCATCCACGTTCTCGAAAAAGCCTTTAGTTCTCCGTCCCGAGAGCCTAAGCCATCTCCGGACCACAAACCCCCGTCGGCCCAGTGTACTGCATCTGCGAAATCAGAGCATCAAATCCCAAATATCGCCCCCAATAATCGAACCACCCTCTCCAGCGTCTTATCGGCCTTTGTCCAGCGGCTCCCCAGCAAAATACAAATCGGGCATCGGTAGCCATCAAGCCTCCAGTCACGTTCGCTCTTCTTCGCCTTCCTGGTATCAAAACCAAGGATATCCCCCAATTGTTTCCAAGTACCATCTAACAGGGGTCTCGCAGACTCGGGATCCTTACACCCAATCAAGCAGCGTACTTGCAGTGAAGAATCCCGATTTTGCCTCAGGGTGTTATGAGGACACAGCCGATTCTCCAATTAGCACCACACACGTCCCGCCTCGGCCGCCGAGACCCGAGTGGCCCGTCTTGCCATTCGATTCGACGGGGATCAAAAGCTTTTCGAAACCGGTCGAGGAGCCAGAACCTGCGCTCCCCGCTATTCTCCCCCTGAATGTTTCCCGTCGTCTTGGGCATCGAAGTACATACACCAGTCCGCGCGACCAGAGCATTGATCAAATGATTCTCGAGTCACCCGAATCATGCCATGACTCGCCCACCTTGCCCCAGTACCGTCCCGAAGAAGATAAGTCGGCCTATCCAGTCGATAGAGAGGCCGATGCGACCCGTGCCAGTCATCTTTCCCGATCGACTTGTTACTCACAGTCCAGCGAGGCAGAGATCTACCCTATGGCCGGCCAGAACGTCGAATCTGGTCTGCAAACTCCTAACTCGCTCAGATATGTATCCTTCGGCCCAAGCTCAAACTCAACTCAACTAGAAAGACAGTTGGACTATTTCACTGCACACAAGAACAGAAGTGATAGGACTTTTTCAAGCCGAAGGAACTCTTAAATTTATCTACATTGTTTCAGTGTCTTTTTTTATTGTTTTCATTATTTTTATTTCTATTTTTATTCTCTATCGTTATCTTATTTCTCGACCAGTTTGGCTACCAAAAGATCTTCTAGCGTAGATTTACCTCTCATAGCTTCAGACTTTCTTCACCAATCTTTGCTCCCCTGTTCTTATTGAGAAAAATTCGAAATTAAAGCACAGCACACCCAACATAATTGTTGCTCACTTCTTTTCGACTTGAACTTGCACCTAGCGATCCACCCATTCATTTTCTAACTCCGGTTGAATCCGTCCTTCATTTCTAAATTCATCCCTTCATTTTACAATCATTGCATTTCTCTCTGTTTCTGTTGGTCCTTTTTTTTGGTGGCTGAAAAGCCTTGTTTCTTGGATGTACTAGATTTTAAGTATAACTCATCTCTTCCTTATGTTGACTGAACCAGCAATCTTTGTCTGAATTGCAAATAACCCCCATATGTTACTTTTTAATACCCGCATGGCTCTATGAGGAGCACATCTCCTATTCTTCCAACTCCATGTGTGTGTTTTTGGTATGATTTATTTTTGAAATCTTAGAGGTTTGAGCTTGTCAGTTCACATAGAAACTGTAGTATTATGATTTGATATTCTCCAAGACACCATGATCATGGAGAAAATATAATACATTGAGAAAACAAGACAGGTGCCATTTTGCCATGATTAAATAAAGTGTGGGAAAGGCAATGAACTCATTGACTACTTGATCACTTCCTGTCTGATCTCTAAACTCTACTAGGTAATCTTATATTCCAGATTCACAAATGGTAATCATATTCACAAAAAAATACACTACATCTATACTGAACTAAACAAAAAACTCAGTCAAGAATAAATCATTCCTTTTTTGCATTCAGTAGGATATTTTCCCAAAGAGAAATTGGAATAAAATATATGGTTATTGTGTGTAAGAGTTCACTACAATATTGTATGGACATCAGACTCAATTCTAACAAGATCTCGGAACAAAGTAATCAGATTCACAGGTGTGGATACCTCCTGGTTCCAATTCGTATGATTGCTGGATTATCAGAGCATGATGTGTGTTTTAAATCTCTATTTTAGTGGTTAATTTACCAGATAATTTTGGCTCATTTGATTCCCATTTCACAGAATATCTGATTGTATTCAGATTTAAGTTCTTCAATATTCAAAATTAGAGATGGTCACGGTGAATCCGGATATCCGCGCGGATGCGGATATCCGCTCACAATTTCAGCGGAATTTGATATCCGCATCCGCAACCGCAACCGCTGGCGGATATCCCCTGGTTTTGGCGGGTATCCGCGCGGATACCCGCGGATACCCGCCCTTTAACTTGGCGGCAAGGCAGCCGGCTGGAAGGGTTTCCTTCCAGCCGGCGAGGTACACGTACCTCGCTGACCGGAAGGATTTCCTTCCAGTCGGCGAGGTACATGTACCTCGTCGGCCGGAAGGATTTCTTCCAGTCGACAAATGGTGAGGGTGACTATTAAAGGTTTGGGTCCTGTGCCATTCTGACTCGCAAACAGATTCTACTTATCTTGAACACATACATACATCAACAGGTGGTGAGGTCTCAAGAGTGAAACTGAACATTTTTTTTATTCAGAATTGAATCAAGGATCTTGAAAAACATGAGTCCAACTATCTAATGTCTTTGTTACTCCAAGTACCCAGAGGAGACCAGGATAAACATTCTAAGAACACAAGGGTATGTTTTAGAGTGTTTGGTCTGTCTGGATTTTGCAATAGAAAGAACCCTAGGAAAGAAGCGGGGAGGGAGAGAGGTGGCCAGTCATGATGGACATACGGATTCCGAGATAGCTTGGCAATCGGGACATGCTCCTCGGCTATGTAGGCCAGCCTGTCACAAGGCGGGATGATGGATCTGCTTATGTACACAAGAGTTTCTGGGATTTTGGAACACAGTAAAACACAAATGGACGTCGAGAAAGAGAAGGAGAGAGAGAGAAAGCACATATGTCTGATCAAGTCACTTCGGTACTGATTATTGGTCCCGATAATAGACTGAAGACAAGAGAGAGAAAGAGAAAAAAAAAAACATGATGGTGATGATGGTGATGATATTCAGATTAAAAATGAAATGGATGAAGGGTGTTAATCGAAGCAATCCTCGGCCGATTTACGCGCCAGACGTCGGACTTTTTTCTTGTAACTAGCGGGATCGTCGCGCAGTTCCTTGGCGGCATCGATGTTCGCGGGCGACTCGGTGTTAGGGCTTTCGGAGGCAAGCAAGGAGGTGACGGAGACGAGCTACAAAAAGACCAGAGAGAAGAGTCAAGAAAAAAAAAGGATCAGTCAAACGTGCGGTAAGGTCATAAGAGAGAAAGCGAGAGAGAGAGGATATGTGGGGCTTACGATCGACTCGATCGTGTGCACCGGTAACCAGTGTTCTCCCGCATCCTCGTATCCGTATTCATCGTTCCCAGGCGGATGTAAGATCGAGATACAGACCGTCCCGTCCGGATAAACTGCTCAACAAACAAGAGGAGACGGACGTCGGATCAGATTTGTAAGCTCCCAACACCAAATTTCAGTTGCTTCTTACTGTTGGGATGCCACATCTGAGTGGTGAATCGGAGCTTGGGCGGGAGCAGGGGGAATTTGGCAGGGAAGCTCATCCGGGCCCGCAGGAATGCTCTGTCGCTGTTCCAAAAAAACAAAACAAAATCGCATCAGGGTCCAAAACATCGAGATGAGCGGGAGCGGGGAGAAAGCAAGAACCATGGGATGAGCTTGTTGGACTCAGCTAGGAGGGAGAAAAAAAATGAGGGCTTCGATGAGTGTGTGTGTGACTGACTAGAGCGTATCTGCTGGACTGGAAGGAAATCCTTCCGGCCGGCGAGGTACATGTACCTCGCCGACTGGAAGGGTTTCCTTCTAGTGGGCGAGGTACATGTACCTCGCCGGCTGGAAGGAAACCCTTCCAGCCGGCCATCTCCTCTTTCCGGCCTCGGGTATCCTTGGGGATACCCGGATATCCGCCGGGATTTCACGGAAAAGGGGGCATCCGCACCCGAATCCGCACCCGCCAGCGGATATCCCCTGGCACTGGCGGGTATCCGCCAGCGGATAGCGGATATCCGCAACGGATTATCCCCGCCCATCTCTATGAATCAAAATAGACCTCATCTGTTCTTGTTCCTTTAACCAATTTGACAACTCATCTTTCCTTCCTCCAATCCTGGCATACATTTTCTTGAATTCTGCATAGATACTTTTCATCTTGTCAGCATAAGGAGTATTAATATAGTTGTTATGAAATGGATAGCTCTTTGAGAATTCAATTGCATCAGATTTACACATTTTCTTGTAGTCAATTGCCAGATCAGCTAGATTCAAAATCCTTGAGTATGTCAGTATTAATTGAAACTTTTCCTCAAAGTATTCATCATTAATTCCTGGTTGCTTTGATTTTTCCCTTATTATCCCTTGAGAAAAATTCTTATCAATGAAATCCAACATTTCAGATACTCCTGTGATCAAGAGTTGCTGTTTTTTGTGATCAATCATTAGGGCACTATCATTAACATATGCTCTTTTCAAAACTTTGATGAGTTGTTCAACTTCATCATCAAATCCTCCACGTTTTTTTGTGTCTGGACTGGTTGGATCATGCTTGACATCAAGTAGCATGTTCTTTCTCTCTTCTTCTTTTCCAAGACAGGTGTTGGATATAATCAACCATTCTTCAAGCTCAGGTGCATCTTCATCATCAGGGACTTCCCAAAATGCAGATGCCATACAGAAACTCAAAATATCAAATTTTATTGACAATAGTTCTTGATTATTGAGTGCTGTAGCATTTTTTTGGAAAAGGTCAAGGAAATATCCATCAAACTTCTAACACAAACACTACAAAATTCCATAAGAGATCCTCAGTTTCAAAACCTTCCAGGAAGGGACTTACCATTATAGAACTTAAAACCAAATGGCCAGAACCAATTGTCTTCAATATCTATGAATGCTTGCATCATGTGTGAAAGTTTATTTGGAGAAAGATCATATGTGGAAGGATTTCTTGGTCTAAAAACATGGGAATAACGCTTTATAAAAACATCATCTGTGCACATTTTGGTCATCAAAACAATATTTCTATCTTTCAAAAAAGATTTGATAACTTTTTCATCTATGAAATCTTGCTTGTACAAGAAATCAATTGTTTTGAGTAATGGTGGGAAAACATATTGAATAGCTGCACCAAACTCAAGGAAGTTTGGATCCATTTGCTTGATATAATCTTGGGTTTCATTGACAAATGAAAGGGCAAAGTTTTTCCAGATTTCCTTTGGGATTGATGCTAACATTTGGGGAGGAAGATTCTGAATCCAATCTGGTATTGGTTGATGTTTTGGATTCTCTAGGAGAAGGCTCAATATATTTGTTCCAGTTGAATCTAAAGGCTGTGAGGAAAAATTTCCTAATTCCCAGAACTTGACCTTCTTGAATATTTCTATCTTCTTTTTGAACTCAATGGCTTTTCTATGTCCCCTATCAGCATCAATCTCTCCTTCCAGGTTCAAAGCAGGATTTGAAAAAAAATTCATAGGTAGACCAAATTCAGCAGAATCGACAATCTGCTTATAAATCTTATCAAGATCGACTGAATCGCGATACAATAGGAACAATTTCTCTGAAATTGTGTCAAGTGTAAGTAAGATTTTGACACCTTGGTAACTGTAAGATAACCATTCATTGCAAAAACGCTGACAACTTGCCTTCATTTGTTTTCCAGTTCTCTCTGACCTTCAAATCTTCAGATGATATCATCATAATCAGTCTGAAACACATTTCTCATTGGCCAGAAATCAAGAGTTGAAAGCTCACTTTCTGTCTTTTCTTTAGAGGAGATGGGAGGTGCAGTGGAAGTACTACCAACAAGAAGGGAATGGTTCAGTGGTTCCTTGGGTAGGTCATCTCCGGCAAGTGTTAGTGCCTGGAGTGAATCTGTTGGAGGGAACCGTGGATTATCTGTTGTTTCTTTAGCTGGTTCAAGAGGTGTTGGCACTAAGCGCATTGGGTTATGAAGACGAATGATCAGCATTGAAGCAAGCAGAGTGATGAGTGACAGTGCGAGTCAGAAAATAAGATAATCACTTGTATCACATAGATGGTGGATGTGATTGCTCCCTTCAACACGCTTTTCAACTGCTTTGTCAATAAACGCACCAAGGGTTGTTGGGATTGGATACAAGCTGATGATTAGGAGCAGTAGGAAGGTCATTTCTAAGGACATGTGGCAATCTTGGTCCAAGTGTTTGAATTAGAGGGACAAACAAAACAACAAGTCCCATCCTAGTCTTCCATTTTATACTTCAACGTCTCGCCAGTGATCAACAGGTGCATTTTTGGGGGTGCCCCCTCCCCTCGGAGTTTTGTGAAGGCATTCTGGCCCCAGTGGCACAGCAAAACTTATGCCAACCGTGCAAGGCAGTACTTTTTTTGTCCAGCATTGATAGCTCAAACACATCGGACTGCCAAAGCAACTCTGTAGTCCATAGCTTATCTGCCACTGGTTTCACCGCTTCACTAGTGCGGGATGATTCGGCGGACTTCCTTGCGCAGTCTTATCAAGCTTTCTGTGCCGACCTTGTTGGGTTTTAGCCAGTTTTTCTCGAGAAGACGCAGTTTCTGAACGCGGCATCTCTCGGCAAGGGTTGTCATGTGATTTATGCAGCTTTGTATCTCTAGAAAGGAACCAATAAATATTACAACCATAGGTTATGCATTTCTCTTCAAACCTTGGTTTTCTCAATTGTCAAGTCTTACCCAACAAATACGCACGAGGGACAGAAAATCTTGCAAAGTCGTCACAATGATTGAAATGTGATTAGAAGAAAAGATTAACGAAAACACCGATCAGAACCAAAGTCAAGTATTTAGGCAGACTGATTATTGGCAGTCTATAGAAGCTCTACATGACAAAAGGGAATTGATGATGATGAGGATTGTCTAGCTTGGGCAGCTGTTTATGATTGATCAAACTAAATAAATACTTAGGACCACACGATTTTTGCTGGTGTGTGTACACCACGGCCACAGGTCAGGCCTGCTGGAAGTGGATTAAGAGGGTCGATCTTCTTCCGCTCTCGCCAGCGAAAGGCTTTTTTTTGTGTGTGCAGTTAGGAGCTGTCAAATGGATGATGGGATGGTTACACTTCAGAGAGGATGTTGAAGTTTGTGGCACATTCTGCATGTGCAACGCTTTTTGTCTGGCACACTCTTTTTTACAGTTTTGCCGTCTGAGCAAGTTGCAGTCATCTGCAGGAGATTGTAGTCGTGTGATGATGAAGTTCCTCTAGCTCTTGCTCGAGGCCTCCACTGTAACGAGCAAGCACAGCCCACAGCAAAATCTAAAAAATTATTATGAGAATGAACTAAGCTAAAAAAGAAAGATCGAGACTTTAGGTAAGATTTGATAGAGATTTTCAAAAATATTTATGTTTTCAGAAGAGAAAGATAGGACTAACACCTTATTTTGAGTCTGAAAAGAAGGGTTTTAAGACAAGAAAGGTAAGAAAATAAATATTAAAGGAGAAGGAAGTTTTGAATTTTTAATCTGTAAAGAAGTAGAGACCAGTACGAGTTAAAGTCAGTTGTACCTAGAAAAATATTTAAGAAGACTTGTATTCGCTTTGAGGGTTTCTTTCCTCATGGCGAAATTTTTGTTTCATCATTAACATCAAACTTGCCGTAATCAAAAAAGAAATCTTCTTTACGTTACAAAAAGATAAAATTAGCGTGCCCGATCCGTGTTGCTTGTGCTGTGGATCATTCTTGTTTGCTTGTCTGGGGCTGCTGTGACCTTATTCGTTACAATTATTTCGCCATCGTAATCTATCTCTCTTTAGATACTTTTCTAAAGAACTCAAGTCATTCTTATCAAGGCTGTTATAAAAATCATTCCGCTTGTTTGCACTTCCTTTTCTTCCTTTATTATCTTTTTCTCGGCTTGAAATTTTTTTTTTTTTTTACTGTCTTAACCTCGGCTTGTAAAATCTCTTTTCTTCTCTTACTGTCTTGTTCTCGGCCCGTTAAAGTCTTTTCGCAAAATTTTTTTTTTTAAAGATTTATTTTCCTGTCTCGCTAAAAATAAAACATATAGCTACAAATTACCCTTTGTTGTTTCTTCTCTCTCTCTCTCAAGAAAATTATTGTTCCGGTCTTTTTTGATACCTGAATTATTGTTTCTATAAGAAAAATAGCTCTATATTTTTTCTTTTTTCCTTCCTATCTCCGTTGTATTTTCTAAGATGTCTATGCCTGCGGTACCAAGTTCCCCCGTTATTAACCCCTCTGATGATTCCCGAAACCCGATTGAATCCAAGGTCGCTCAGTTAGCAGATCAGCTATCATCCATCAAACTCGGTTCGGCAAACAGTGATTCTCAACTCGCTCACCTTCAAACCGAAATCCACTCGATCAAGAAGACCTTCAAACAGATTTCCGAGGACGTCAAGGACATTCAATCAATGAAGAATCTGTATTCCGACCTCAACAACGTCAAGTTATATTTTCAAGATCATATTCTGAAGATTCAATCCTCCATCGACCAAATTCGCTCGGTTATTGACGGTTGCAATTCGGCTATTCAACAAAACGCCTCTCAAATCATTGATTT